AAAAATTGAAGTTGATTTTTAAAATTTCAGCTGTTTTATTTCTTGTATATTAACTGTCCTATTGGGCTCTTTTGAGTTTTTTTAATAACTTCTCTTGGCAATTCAGTGGGATTTTGATTTTTTTTAACTAAGCATTTAAGACTATATATATATATATATATATATATATATATATATATATATATATATAGTTTTAATGTGTATATATATATATATTTACGTATATATACCGATATATACCGATATATACAATATTTGATTAGGGTCGAGACTGTCATACATACAATTATTAAAAAATATCACTGCATTTTCAGAGAATATCAAAGTTGAGAATGAAGTGATATTTCTAAAATATATATATTTATTTACGTAAGTAAATTTAGGCAGGATATTTTTTCTTTTACACATATTTTGTTGAATTCGATTGCAGTTTGTTGTTGCATTTCATTTTCAAATTTTCTTATAAATTTTTTATGTTCGTAATCCAAATCATGAATCAAATTTCAAGTCATTTTTAAATTAAATCATTAGTCGACGTCATTGCGTCGTTGTCCAGGTAATATTTTTCATTTATTTACCTAACTGACCAGAGGGCATCAACATGCCTCTTACCCAGTCAGGATACATGACAACAAAAACAACAACACACGTTTAGACGACATTTTCCCCGAGATCGGGGGTTGCCGTTTGGCTACCTATGATGAAACTGAAATACCTCTCTACGCCATCCACATCTGTCACTCGCCTCAGTATCACGCAACCCCGCTTTCACCCTGTCCTTCTCCACCTGCTCTCTCCATCCCAATCGCGGACGACCCCTTCCTACCACTCCTTCAACCTCGAACTCCAACGCTCGCCTAATCCCGACCCTTTCATCCCTTCTCAACACATGTCCATACCATCGCAATCTCGATCTCCTTATCAATGTCACAATGTCCTCATTCAGTCCCATCATTGACATCAGCTCTGTACTACTCCTCTTATCCTTCACTTTAACCCCACACATCATCCTCACCATAGCTCTTTCAGCCCTCTGCAGTACACTTTCCTCCTCTCTCCTCAACACCCAAGTTTCACCACCATATACCATCGCTGCTCTCACACATGCTTTATATACCCTCCCTTTCATCTTCACTAACCATTTCTTTCCACACAATACCCCACCCAGTTCCCTAAATTTCATCCATCCTACACGAACTCTAGCCGTAACTGCGCTCAAACATCCTCCATCCGCGTTCAGCTTATTCCCTAAGTAAACAAAGCTTTCCACTCTTTCAATACCATCACTCGACCCCGTCCTTGCGTCCGTCCTATTAATCACACCATGAACACATTTCTTACATTTGAACGTGCCTCCCACCTTTTTCAGTGCCCCCCTCACACCACTACATCTCTTATGCACCCATTTCTGACATCCTATACACAATACCGAGTTAGCCTTCACTCTCCTGTCACATACCCCACAGGGGTCTATTTTACTTATCACTCGCTCCCCACCTTCTCCACTCACCATTACCTTCGTCTTACCAATATTAACTTTTAACCCTTTCTTTTCAATAACACTTTTCCATCTGTCAAATTTTAACTGCAATTCTTCCATGCTATCATCCATCAAGACTAAATCATCTGCATACAAAATCTTAAATAACAACCCCTCCATTATGTTTTCCACACACACATCCATCACAATTGCAAACAGAAACGGTGATAACACTGATCCTTGATGCACTCCTACCTTAAAACTAAAAGCGTCCGACATCCCCCTTCCAACCCTCACCTTTGTCTTTGCCCCTTCATTCAGCTGCATCACAGCTTTAACAAGTCTCTCATTCACTCCTTTCTTCCTCAACGCCCATTCAATGACCTTCCTCGGTACTCGATCAAAAGCCTTTTCTAGATCCACAAAACACATGTACAATCTTCGTTTCTTCTTTCTATAATTCTCCTGCAACATTCTCACCATGAACAACGCATCCACCGTTCCTCTACCAGGCATAAACCCACACTGCATTTCATTAACTGTCACCATATTTCTCAACCTCCTCTCAAGCACCCTCTCCATTATCAGGATACATGAACAATTTCAAATACACATAATAATAGCAAAACAGAAAAAAATAATGCAACATCACAAAACAAAATAGTGAAACGAATATATGAGAAATTTAAAGTAAATGAATGTCTGAACCTCAGTCACTTCATCACCGACCCCGTCTCAACAAATTTTAAAGTTGAATAAATGTAACATTTGATATAAACATCATAAAAAATAAATGTCATTCAATCAAAATCATAACTAATTTCAACACGCAGATAGTTTATGGACAATAGCCATTATATAATTTTAAAATATGTTCAATTGACTTTGAAATTTGAATCACGATTTGGATTACGAACATAATAATTGGATAGGAAAATATTTGAAAACCCGAAACAGAAACGTACAATCTGATAACTTCGATCGAGTCCAACAAATATATGTATACATGTGTATGTATATATATATATATATTATGTTTTTTATTCGTTTATTTATTATATGTGTACATGACTAGTTATCAAGAGCTAACAATTTCAACAATGAAATTTGGTTTATACAGATTATGTTTAATCAGAAGATGATTGGTCATTTTATTCTTTATTCGTCAGATGTTTAAGAATCAAAGTCTAACTTTCATAAATAGTTGAGCAAATGTAAAATGTGGAAAGGGAAAATTTTATTCGGTTATTTGGGAAACCTCTGTTTCATCATCATTTTGTCATGACTACCGTAACAAACTCTTAATTTAGTTTGAGACAAAAAGTAGATTATGCACTTGTCAGAAGTTGCAGGTCCGTGACTGCAGATATTTCCAATGAATTTCATTTTAAACAATTTTACTCTAATTACAATTAATTGACGGCTAATTTATGTTTATTTGTTTTATTTGAATTTTGGGTTATAATTCAGTTTTAAATGTTAATTTTATTAATATTATTATAATATGACTATTTTTCCAATAAACATATAAATCGTTTAAACATGTTTTTGAACTATTTTTCTATCTCCTTATCCTTGATGGGATACTGGGATTGAAATGATAATGGTCTCTGATCGTCATGGTTCGTATAACATCAAACAAAGAAACTAAACATGCTGAAGTATCATGCTAATACATAAGATAAAAATAATAAAAATAAAATATTTAAAACATGAAGAAAAATCGTTAATAAACTATAAAAGTTATAGAATGTCATGGAAACTGAAGATGACACCAGATCTCATAGCATTCTGCATTTGCATGGTACCTGGGTGCGTTTTCTACCTATATGCAGTCTCTGGAGAAAAGTGTTCCAAAAAATTTTGCTCAGCAGCTTGAGATGTACAACTGCAGTTGAAAAACAATATGAGATAGTTACGGGAAAGCCAATATGTGATAGCGTAATTTTTTCATCATATCTATTTCTTAAAAACTTTCTGGCTTGCCTACACGCATCATGTGCCTGAAAGGCAGCCTCTCTTCAAATGAGTTTGGAGATATTACAATGTTTTCATTTTGCGATACTGTTGTTGCTGTTTCAAGTTGATTTGTACAGTGCCAGAAGTGGCTACTGATTTTAAGAAAAATTATAAATCAACAATGACATTTAGTTTTAGTTACTATTGAAATTATGTTTAAAATTAATGCAAAATTAAACAAATAGTTAAAATTATGTTAAACTGGTACTTATTTGATCGCCGTGATCTTCTGCAAAATTTTTACCAACCAATTTGTAAACTATAAAATTAATCAAAACTCGATTAATGTAAATGCAACTGTAAGCCAATAGATATCTGCCAACTCTCATGCTTTACAATATAATAATAATAATATATACCAATAGTTATATGTTAATCATTTGTTTACCAATGGAATTATACAAGTAAACAATAATGTCTTTGAATTTTTTGGGAAAAAAATATTTTGTAATTTTAATTTGTCAAGTTTGAATTCGTTTGAACGATGTTTTGACAACTTTATTTACACCGCAATTATCTTTGGTCGAATTTATTGTTTAGTTATCATCTTTTGAAACAAATGTATGAAAACCATTTAAGTATGCATTGCATATTACGCAGTTGTTTTGCACAAACGCCTACAGGCAAGCAATAGAGGTTCTGTGAAAGAACACAAAAAGATCATCGTAAATTGATATTAATCAGCCATTCATAAAAAACATATCCAAATATTTACTGAGACTAAAAACAACAGAATGCTGTTGATTCATTACGACCATATTATAGCCTAATCGGTTCCCCATATTAATTGTCCTCTTCAAAATAACATTAGCTTATATGTGTTTTTATTTCTACTAATAAAATTTCTTTTTTAATAAATTGTAAAAAATGCGTGAATCAGAATAACTAAATTACACCAGATTAATAAGTTTTAACATTTTAACGACACCCGAATAGTAATAAAAATTTACGTAAAACATGCATTTAACGCACAAAAGACAGCATTATAAATTCGAACTATCAAACACGTGGAAACTCAATGCATTCGAACCATGCCTCTCAACCAATATTTGTTATAAATTATATTTTCATGGAATCTTATGCACCATTGGCTATTGAACTAGCATTGTGTGTATGTATATATATATAAATAAATATATATATATACTCTGGGATGAATTGGAAAACTGTATATTATTCTAATTTTAACGAAATAAATAATGACGATGAGAATTTGGTTAGAAATATTGAGAAATGTAACAAAAAGCTGTGAGATTTTTTTATCGGTATAAACACCACAAACCACATGCACAGACACACACAGACACACACACACACATACATATATATATATATATATATATATATATATATATATATATATATATATATATATATATATATATATATGTTGGTAATAGACTATAATTTTTACAATATTCTATAAACTCTACCGAATGTTTGGCGTTAATATGTTTGTAGTACGTTTTTTTGATTTTTCTCACTAAAGTTTTTTGGTGAACGTTTAGCTTATTAAAATTCAAAATAAACTTATTTTCCGAATTCATGCTGCAAATAAGGCCATATTTCGATTCCGAATGAATCATCATCAGTACAATTTGATTTATATAAGGAAATATTCACTTTGTCAAAGTGAACTTAAATGGAAATTAGGTGTCAGATTTCTTTATTGGCTGGTCCATCTTCGTTGGTTTCTTTTTCATCATCGATAGCATCATATTCTTTTTTATCATTATTTAAAATGCTAGTTTTTATTACTCTTTTGTTTTCATTGGGAGTTGGGAGTGAGGTTGTCATTTTTTTGTTGTATATTTATTTTAGGTTTATTGATGTCAATTAGGACTGCTTCTGCAATTTTAAGATGCGTGTTGTTGGTGTTCTGGTATATTACTTTGATGTTGCTGTCGAGGATTTCACGGCTTATAGTGATTGAGTGTGTTGAGTCCAAATTATTGATGATATGTTTAAGAATAGGTACATCTATTTTGTACGCAGTTGACATGTGATTTCTGTAATACAAGATGATGTCGCTATCTTGATTGTTGGTATTAGGAAGGTTTTTGCTGTGATTTTCATCAATAATATATGTATATATATATATATATATATATATATATATATATATATATATATATATGATACAAATAAAATTAGCAAAGTAGGTTTGAAGATGGATCAATGAATTTTTTCCTGGATTTCAAATTATACCTATCAAGAGTATATGGAGTAATTATATTGTTTACAATTGCATTTATTTTCTTTTTTAATTGAAAAAATCATGGGCGACCCTTTTGCTTAAAACAATGAAATTAGGAAAGTATGATATATAAATAAAACTATTATTACACAATGTTTAATATTCAAACGTTCAAGATGCATAATCAACTGAACAAGTGTACACCCAAACATATATAGACACAATGAATACAAATCTAAATAATTAAAAAAATAGAATGAATGCAAGAAATTAAATCGGCAAACGCCATAAGAATTTTCTATCACCATAAAAATTGTCCAACATGGTCCTGAGCCGTTCAACACTTTGAGCTTCCACAACAGACGTTTGCAGGCTATTCCAATCACAATGAATACAAATCTAAATATTCAAAAAAATAGAATGAATGCTAGAACTTAAATCGGCGAACGCCATAAAAATTATCTGCAATCTTTGTGAGCTAGCTTGAATGAGTGACCCCTTGTTTTACCGAACGGAGCATATTTCAATTGGGCACATCAACGCTGGCTACATTTCATGGGAAATCATATAAACCAGAACAAGTTCATATTTTTTTCACTTTTACGTTAAAGATGGTAAGCCTAATTTTTTTAACCTATTAAAATATTGCAGATTTTTGCACCAAGCAATAAGGCGTGTTGCTCTTCTTTGAATTTTCTTAAATTTATCAAGTAACCAAACTTCAAATCCATATTTTAGGTGTGATCTTACAAAGGATTTGAACGTACAAAGAAATACATTCTCGGATAAAAATATAAAATTTCTTGCTAAGATTCCTAACATTGATTTGGAACCCCGCTAGTGACGGACAGCTGATCAGAAAATTCCTTATCGATTGTAATAGCGAAAAATCTACCGGTAAAATAAGTATTAATCCATTTCAGCATTTTAGTTTTGACACCATATCTTTTGAACTTGAACAAAAGCTTCTCGTGAAAAATTTTAAAAAAGCCTTTTCCAAATCGGTATATATCACGTTTGTTTCCGGACCTGAGTTTAAACCTTCTGTAACCACATCCACAAATTTTAGTAATTAAAGCGCTGTTGAACGTGATAGCAAGAATTCAAAGTGATCTTTAACAGTAAACTTATTTTGTAAGAAATGGCTTAATAAATGGTGTTTAATAATCAGTGGCGGATTTAGGAGGTGGATCCGGGGGGCCATGCCACCCCGTTATCATCAGTTCAATTCAAGAAAGCGTTAAAGAATGGAAAAAAAAAATTTTGAGATCGACTTTTCAACAACAAAAAATAACGCTGATTTATTATATAAATTTGATACAAGTTTATTTCAGAATATAATTCATATTTTAAACTTAAATAGTGTTTGCGGCACAAAATAAAAATAATTCATGTTTTCTTAGTATATTTTTTTATTGAAAACTAATATCAACAAAAAGTAAATCAAAAAATATTATATTTACTTTTTAGACTTATCATAATTTTATGTTTTGTTCGCAGTTCACATTTTATTCCATTTACGATTTGGCGCGTCTTATATTATTTTTTTGTGTTTCATAAAATCAGTTTGCATTTGAATTCGTTTTAAAATTAAAAAAAAATGTCTTTTAAAAAAAGTAGTATTTTAAACTTTTTTCAACCGACTCCGGCAAAAAAACAGAAGCAGTGCGATAATCTCAATACAGTTGAGGCCGTTAATGGTAATACCTAGATATTTCAATAATTGCATATGAAATAATTTGGTATTTTCAACTAAAAAAATTAGCAATAATAAAAACATTTTTTGGGTTAGGGTTAATGCGTACCAGTCATTACCCGACTAGACTTGAATTAAGTTTGTAGTTAACTAACTATTCAGGTCTGGTAGGAAAATTAAAAAATTTAATCTCAACGTTTTTTTCCATTATAGAATCTGATGTTTTGGAAGAAGGCCTTTCATTAAATTTAAACGATGACATGACTGATGTTTCAGACAAAACTGGTAATTCATGTCAGTTTTTCAAAGAAAACAACACCTTTAGATATTAGACAATATGCAGCTGCAGAAATCCCAGGCACTTCGAATAATTTAAGATATGATCTTTTGAAAAATCCATGGAAACCTGACGAGAATTATAAATTTTCATATGTGTTGGAAGGTAAGAGAAAACGGTTCTTTAAATTCCATTGGTTTCATATATTTTCCTGGCTGTCTTATTCTGATTTGAAAAAGGAGCATACTGTAAGTTTTGTGTACTTTATGCTTATCGACATCCATCATGTGGCTCAGTCGGAGTATTTGTTATATCACCTTTAAATCGTTATAAATAAATCAGCTTTAGATCAACGTCGCTGTCATCAAGCGACATCTTTTCATAGAGAGGCTACAGAAAAATCAGAAATGTTTCTGAATTTGATTAAAAATAAAACTAATGTTTTAGAGTTATAAACTCCGCTCTTTTTACAAAAATAGAGAAAAACAGAAAATTGCTTAACACTATTATTGAAACTATTAAACTTTGTGAAAGACAGAATTTTGCTTTGCGTGGACACCGGGATGACGGTGCATTAGATATAAAATCTGATAACAATCAGGGGAGTTTCAGAACGCTATTAAAATACAGTACTGAATGTACAAGATCCGCCACTGAATGTTTATGTATTATACATATACATTCAGTGGCGGATCTTGGGGTAAGGCCGGAGAGACCATCGCCAAGTTGTGAGCAGTATATTTATTAAAAGAACTCAACTTTTGCATAATAAACACCATTTTATATTTAAAAAAGGTCGCCAGCTTAATTTTGGCAACGATACCACAAATCTTGGCCCCCTGTCCAAAATTGAAAAAAATAAATTAAACTTTTAAACATTTTTAAAATTTTGGCCTTCCCGTCAAAGTTGTCTAGATCCGCCACTGTTAATAATTGATTGCAACAATTTGCAGCAGATGGAATTTAAAGAGATTGGTCTATAATCGGATGCATTATTTCTACGACCATTTTTCTATAGAGGTATAATTAAACTTAACTTTCAATTTCGCGACAGAACACCTTCCTCAATAGATCTCTGAAAAATCAGACACAGAAAAGGTGACACTGTGTGAAGCCTTGATGATTTACCAATATCCAGTAAAGGTTAAAAAAAGGTCAATTACACTCTTCCAATGTTCAAAGGATTCAACAAAGTGCACACACATTGTATATGAATACGTACTAAACGACGCATCACACACGAAGCATGTGATAGGCGGAGATCTTTTTGTCATATTCGAACCCGGTTACTAACTCGGCGACCTTAACCATTAGACCATCACGCCGCCCTTTAACTTTATCTTTTTGATATCCAATGAAACATCAACCAAAAAAATCCTCCATTTGGCAATCAACCGGATTGACTCCCAGAAAAAAAGTCTTCATTCAATGCTACATCTTCAATAAAACCAGATGCAAAATTACTGGCAAAAATATTGGCTTTGTCCTTGGCGTTATTAATTACAACTTCATTCGCAATTAAGGACCCTATACTGTTTTTATGAGTTTTCAATCTTTCAATATAATTCCAGAATAATCTGGGAGAAATTTGCCGACCCGCTACTGCAGGAACGGTTGGCCAGTACGAGTACAGCCAACATCAACCACCAACCGCCATCAACCAACATAACATCCACCAACATAACATCCACCAACATCAACCTATAAAATGTCTTAATCTTATCGCTTTTTCTATAATAGACACTTTTACGTTAATTTTCATTTTACTATTTTTGTTTTTCTGGTTTCAATCGTTTTAATAATTCTTTTCCTTTCGTTTAAAAAGTTGAAAGTGGATTTAATGACAGGTTTGTCTGAAAAAATTGACTGATGAGCTAAGTTTGTTGGCCTTGGGATATTATTTATCCCATGGTCGAATTTGCAAAAATAAATAATATGGTATCGTTTGATGCTTTTGTATCTATTTTTTATCAATTCATTCATTCATTCTTTCTTTCTTTCTTTTATTCATTTACTTATTTATTATTCTTTTATTCATTTACTTATTTATCATTCTTTTATTCATTTACTTTTTGGCGTTGTTGGCAGTTGTATGCAATTCCTCCTGGCAGAATTTAAAATAAATTTAGAAGTTTCAGAGCGCCTGTGACCTCGTTTTGATACTTATTGCTTTACCATAGCGCAACAGCAGAAGCAAATGCTTAAAATGTTTATAAAGCAAAAAGTTTCTAAATTTATATTTTTGTTGAAATATTAAAAGCAGACATTTTAAATTATAGTGCGTTCTATAATTCCTAAACGTTTATAGGTATAGACTGTAATACAAAATTTATTTAAAAATTGACAACTTTTTACTGTATAACCCTTTAACATTTTCATTTTGATCCAATTAAATTCATCTTAAAATTAATGCTTTAAAAGTCCTGTTCTACATGTATTTGTAGCTCTCTAATGAATGCATAATTTTGATATGCAAAAACATCGTCCACCGATTCGTTGCTCAATTATCTTTTAATTGAAATTCTTACCTGTTTTGAATAAATTTACTGAACAGTGCAAATCTAAAAAATGCCATTAGCATGGACAGTTTTGATAAAATTGCAAATCACTAGACTTACAAAATTAGGGAACCTTTTATAAAAAATTAATAGGATGAGCCATTATCAAACGGCAAAAATTTTTAATCTTTAAAAAAGTATTTTAATGTTAAAAAAATAATTTGAAAATGCGATTTGATTTGATGCCAGTAAGTTTTTTTGTTTGTTAATGTCATCTATTTGTTTGAAGCTTTCGAGAACTTTATTATTCGGCGCTATGTCAATTTTTCAAGAATAATGTAATGCATGTATTTATACACATACGCACGCACATTCAGGAACACATGTCTCTTTCTCACTCTCTCTCTCTCTCTCTCTCTCTCTCTCCTTTCTCTCTCTCTCTTTCACACACAATTCCTTGACCTTTGTGACTACTAACACCTATGTTATAGCTTAAAATCTCTATATTTCCAACACCGTGTTGTAGTTTACACCGAGAGTCAAGAGTTCGTTTATCCGTAGGTTCAAGAGTTCCGATAGATGAACACAACTACTTTAAACGCAAACTTTGTTGAGCGTTTATTTGATTACCAGCAGTAACAGAAACAATAAATTAATCCAAATAACTACATAAATCACATTTACGACTTTGCATCGAGCCTCACTTCTACCGCAACTTTTACCACTCAACTGCCCTAACCAGGCTATGCACGTCGTATTTATGGTCAAGTTAGCATAGACACAATTTTCAAACCTCAAAAATCACAAATATAGCATAGGTAAATAATAATTAAAATAACAAATAATATAGCGCTATTCTATCATTCCCGCGGTTATAACACTACCCCCAACTTAGCCTGTTAGTCTCTAACATAGGCATTACTTCTTTACTCTAATGAATAGAAACAATCTATTCAAATGGGCAGTTTTCATCTTTGATCGTTTCCTTTCAGGATCATCCTGTAGATCACGTCATTTATCCTGTTAGTGATCTTGTACCGATCTTTCCAATTTCTTGAGAGTTTCACCTGGCATTTTCTTTTTCTAGGTCGTAAGTTGTGCAATCAGACCAGATCTTCGTTCTTGAAATCTTCGCTATTTCTTTTCCTGTCACGCCACGTTTCCGTTGTTTCAGCGCCTCTAGCCAATAGTAGACGTCGTGGTTCTTTCTCGACCTCATCTACAGATGAAGCAAGTTTGATCTTTCTATTGATTTTACGAGGTGTATAATAAATCTCTGATGCATGTTGCCAGAATCGTCGTTGGCATTTTTTCTGGTGACCATCTATGCAAATCTCATCCTCATCAGCAATAAAGCCGTCATTGAAATCATCATCCAGGCAGACGAGAACCAAGCTTTCATTCCACGTGCGTGTGGAAGGGTTATCTCAAAGCTTTAACCATCGTCTGTCACCAATTCCTGTCCTGAAAGAATACTAACATTAAAATCATCTTCACTGACGTCGTTAATCTCTAGGCTAATGCTCCCCCAGATTAACGTCATGTTCAAATCATCATCAAAAGTTAAATCGTTGGTGAGTGTATCAATTTGTATCAAACTCGTTGTAGCTTACAAACTCAACAAGGCGGAAAATGCGGTGATATTTTTTTATAACTGTATATATGACAGTCTGAACCAAAATTTTTTCTCTCTCTCTCTCTCTCTCTCTCTATATATATATATATATATATATATATATCACAGCATTTTCCGCATTGTTGAGTTTGTAGCTAAGTTTTTCAATTTTGTAAATTTAAGTTTATCAATATTATTCAATTTATTCAAATTAATAATAAACTTAGTTACAAACTCAACAAAACGGAAACTGCGGTGATATTTCTTAATAACTGCATATACGACAGTCTGAACCACCCAAATATATATATATATATATATATATATATAAATATATATATATTCATATATAATACATTTGTTCGGCAGTCTCTCATAAGTAATACATGCAACTAATATTAAGTCTTACCTGATTTGCAAACGTTTTTCAACAAACTGAATATTAAAAAGTCATAAATTCAAAATAGATAATGGATGTCATTTAGACTTGCAAAGTGAATTTAAACGACAATTAAAATTAAACGATATTAGCAACCGATTAATTTAATGTAGTATGATAATGGGTCTTTTTTAATTATTATCCGTGCGTGCGTGTGTGTGCCTGCCTGTCATGTCATCATTATGGTAGCACTTTATCTTCTACAGTAATGTTAAAATATCGTGAAACATAGTTGAATCATTTAGAAATCGTTACACACACACACATACACACACACACATACATATATATATATATATATGTATATATATTTAATTTTATATATATGTATATACATATATAATTATATATATATATGAGACATATATATATATATATATATATATATATGAGACATATATATCTATGTAGATATATATATGAGACATATATATCTATATAAATGTACATGTATCTTTATATATATCTGTATGAGACATGTATACAGGTTTGCGCCTACATGAAAGTGTTTAAATACCAGCAGTGCATCGTGTGATCCAACAAAGTAACACGTACGTTGGTTCATTGCACGTCGTTTAATTTAAATTGAAAAATAACATTTCAAACAACTACCCGAAACTATATCAAAAAGATTTCTCATTATTATTGTCTATTGCTGGTATTAGTGAAAATAAAAGATAGTATTAAGATAAAAGGGATTGAAATGAAGAACGTCACGTTTTTGCTGCTCGCCATGTCGGCTACTCTCCTTCTGCTTCTCGCGTCGGCCCTGCCTCCAAGAAGAAGAAGTCTCATCTCCAAAAATTACATCTTCCCAAAAACTCACAGCAAAGTAAGTCTAAATCATTTTGTATCGATTAATTAATTAATTAATTAGCTTTGCTTTTTGAAGTTATTGACGAGCAATTCCACAAATTGTTTCTTTTTAGTAATTCAAACATTTTTTTTAATGTAAAACGATCCTTTTAAAAAAAAATTCGGTTATTATTATTTAATTAGTTAAACACGGAAGGTATACCAACATTTTGGTTTTCAGTTATTGATGATTTTTACTGAGAAATGCATTTACGTTAATCTCTTCTAGTTTCTTGTCATAGTTTAATTTAGTAAAATATGACATAAAAGTAGAAATATGATGAAATATGTAACAGATTCTTAAGCGTTTTATTCTTTCATGGTCTGATGGAGGGTTGGATTCTCCACCGAACCGAACTAGCTCTTAAGGAAGCACAAATTTTTAATTGCATTTTCGAAAGTTTCACAAACGTTCGCAGAACAAAAAAATCTTTTGACATGGGCGAAATTTTTGAAGGTTCTGTGAAACGTGAGACAAATTGTCCAATCCAACTTGGATTTTTTTTTAAATCAACTGGATGGAGTTTTTTTTTGAGAAATTTCAAACACAGTTTTGATTGTTGGAAATGAATTTTGAATTTCTTCGAATTTGCATAAAAACAATTCATTCAACCCCCATAGCTTATATAATTAGGCAGAGTAAGTTACCAAATTTTTAGCTGTTTTCAAAAGCTAATTATTCTGCAGATTTTATAAAATATTGCATCAACCTCGCATCAACATTTTACAATTGAACAATTATACTATATTATCTCAGAGGTGGACATGGGTCCATTTTTACTGACCCAACCGAACCCAACCAGCCTGAAAATGCAAAACCTCAACTCAACCCAACCCAACCCTGCATCTCCACGTGCCGCAATTTTAACCAACAGTCAAACTTTTACAAATAATATTTAAAACGCAGAACTCAAAAATAGAAGCTTATATTTGAAATAAAATACACTGGTAAAGTGATCACACTGCAAATGTCATGAAATAACTTCGGCAAGATTGCAGCACAATGTTTGGCGTATTCTCGCTGATTTTTAGTGCCAATGTTTTTACCTGACGAATCTCTAAATTGATATACCTCATTGCACTTAATACAAGCGCAATAATAATTTACAGGAATTTCGTCTTTATCATTTTCTTTCTTTTGAAATATCATGTGAAATTTCTGCCAGATTTCTGATTTTAAATTTGTGGGAGCTTTTAATATATACTTTCCTGTTTTTTCTGTAAATAAAAAAAAATTAAATACTTAAGTATGTTCAATCAATCAATCATTTAAATTTATCTCGTGTGATTTCTAAACTTCAATATATATATATATATATATATATATATATATATATAATTATCGATTATTTTTATTTTAAAACATAAACTTTAATTTTAACAACAGCGATTCGCCAAAAATAATGATGCCGAAGATCCGTTATATTCTTCTTATCCATTTGAGTACAACAACAATGAGCCTATCAGCATGGACTCCAACAAGTATGCAAACTCGCTGAACAAGGAATTTCCAAAGGCTCCGAAAGGAAAGCAAGTTTTCAAGAAAGCCCACGTGCCATGCCTCTTCAGCATCATCTCTTGCTGGAAATAACGTTTTGTCGTTCGCCGTTGGTTTTGAAATGATAACAATGATTACTTATCGAACGGTTTCGTCAATTTCATATTCAATTTGAATTAATCTCTTTAAAATACAGAGCATAACTCTTCGGTTTGACATGTTTAAGTATGTTCATGAAGTACAATTAAATTTGATGATTTAAATGATATTTTAAATAAAATATCTAGATGTTATGGAATAATCTGGAGTTTCTTTATTTATTATTTATTTATTCATTTATTAGTTTAGAATTATTACGGATATATATTTGGAAAAAAACTTTAGACAAAATTTAATAAAGCAATAATTATTATTTTCCAAAACACTAAAAATGTCATCTTTAAGGTGAATAATTTCATAATAAAATGACAAATCCAATTAATGATAAAATGACAAATTAAATTCTATTGCAATAGATATAATAAAATAATAAGAGCTTATATAATGGATTGTTTCATGGCTAATTATATATGAATAAAAACGCACAAACAAATAAACAAACACATACATTTTATTTCACTAGAACCAATACATCTCGTCCTACGTTGATGTTCAACGTGCTGATGATGAATTTTGAACAAAGTGTGATCAAAATTTAGTTGCTGTTGATAAGTTGTACCAACCAATTACAATAAGATATCACCTAGCGATTCGAACGGAAATATTTATTTTGCACACGTACGCATTAAACGCCTTATTGTTTGTGTTGTATGGTTGTTGGTGTTGTATGGTTGTTGGTGTTGTATGGGTGTTGGTGTTGTATGGTTGTTGGTGTTGTATGGGTGTTGGTGTTGTTTGGTTGTTTGCGTTGTATGGTTGTTTGTGTTGTATGGTTGTTGGTGTTGTATGGCTGTTGGTGTTGTATGGTTGCAAATTTGTAAGTGGGTTATTGTGGCTTGGATAGTCATGTTGTGGATGTTTTAAAAGTGACCCGTGAAATTATTCAGTAGTGAGTTCAAAACCTTGGCTAACGCATCTGAGAAAGTTTTTGCCCCACAAATGAGATGTGTTGAATGGAGAATATACACATGTATATTATTATCCTTATGTTTGTTTGTAATCGAATGTTTGTAAAACCCAAAAGCGCAAGCAAGTTGCAAGAAAAAATTCTCTGATAGAAAAGCCATCTGGCGAGTTATGACAAAAAAGCTTTCACTTTTCTACAAAATCTGTTTAGTCCAGGCTTTCTAAAAATGCGAAAGTTCATTTCAAAACTGTGGATTGACAATAGCAAAACTTTGTTTGTCATCAGACAAACATTTTTGAGGAATAAATAAAAAATTCATCTCCTTAGAACGCAATGTACGTACAATGATGCAACGAAACTGTCTTAGCGATGCATTTATAACTTGAACGGGACGGACACGTAGCATTATCATTTATAAATTTGTGAGCCAAGATAACAATTTAAACAAGATACGCTTGGAGACTGGTAACCAGTGTGGCTCACGTAATAAAGGACTGACATGTTCAAACCACGGCCGCCAGTAAGAATTTGGCAGCCCAATTCTGAATTAATTTAAGAATTGGTATCAATCTACCAGAAACAAAAACTATGGCATTAGTCCATCTTAGAATAAATAAAATAATATACAAAATAAAAGTGTAGACTTATCCAGCTGCATTTTAACAACTCCTAATTTTTTAAACGTTGAAACATTCAGGCACTACATTCTCAACATGCATCTTACATCTGCTTTGTTAAATTAGAATCAAACACGTCACACAAATCTCCAGCCAGATGACAACAGTTTATTTCAAAAACACCATTCTGCGCCATCCAATCATCAATCTCAGGCAAACAATAAACCAACTTTTCATTAAAATTTTCAAACAATATAAGTGAATCGCTAACAATAATCTTTATGCCATCAGCAAAACACAAAAGTTAAAACCAAATTTGCAACAACATCTGACTACCTCAGCTGTATACAACAAATGACCCAACAAAACTCTGAGAAGCACCAACTGCAGATTTAATTTCATTAAAACAAACTGCCGGACACGACCAACTAAAGATTACTCAAAATATTTCATTCCCATACTTGACAACCTAAAACGATAACAAGTTTGTTAATCTAAAAACCATGATCAACAAAATCAAACGCCGCACTCATGTATAAAAATGCAACAATCAAAAACACAATGATCATAAACAGCAGCAAACCAATTTGACATCACATTTAAAAACAAAATTCACAACATAATATTAAATAATAATTCAATAAAATTGGTTTGGAGTCCAAGCCACATTGGAATTTTGGACAACGAAAAAACACACCAGGCTGCCAGCCTGGCACACTCTCTTCCAATATCAAAAATTCCAATACCAATATCCGATATAAAACCCATCATACATCAATATATCGTATCTATGTCGCAGCAAAAATGGAATCAATCCAATAACTTTTAAAAAAGTTCAAACCCTAAAGTAAATAATCCAAATGTATTGCATCTAGAAAGAAGATTCCAAACGATGTTAAGTTTTTTCAGGTTAATAATTCTGCAGCTACAATTGCATTATTGATTAAAAATTTACTTTTTTTAAATTGTTTCATGACTGTAGTTGTGACTGATTGTGTATATCATTAATTATGAGTGCTTTACAGATTTTTTTTAATATCTCGCTTTTGCATTTGGTTTGCCTATGATGAGTTTGATTTTGTTGGTTTTGAATACATTTTTTTTATTTAGATGGCACTTTTGAGGACACTAAAACAATGTTCTGTCATTTTGTGAACAGAGGCCCTTTTCAATTTTATATTAAATAAAAGCTTCGGTAAAATTAATTTTTAGTAAAAATTTCAAGTTCGTGTTTCGTACAAGATACACCTAACGTGTGTGGCAATAGGCAATCAACTTTTAATACTGATAAAAGATGTTACGAATTGCATGGTTCAGCTATTTTCAATTTTAACATGTTAGAGAAAAAAATGTCTTAAATACCAGGCTCATATACGTGGAATATTTTTTATTCGCTAGCTGTTGGTAATTTTGGAAAACACCTCACACTGTAATGTCAGCTGAGCCAGTCAAACTCATTCGCTGGAAACTGGCGTCGTTCACATCTAAGCTCGATGGAAGGATGCTATTATTAATTGCGTTCAAATTATTTGAGCTTTTTTTTCATAAAACTCTATCAAACCGTTTATTTAAACTGTTATATCAAATGTACAAAAATTTTTATCGCTCTATACTCCAAAATGAACAAGCTATATTTCATGAAATGATCGTTTTGATTCAATTTCTTAAAATTGTAATGTGTTAATTCGTACCTTTAATTGTTTAGGTGTTTAATTGTTTTATGATGCTGAACTAAACTAAAATTTGTATTAACTGTTTCCTATTTTTATTGTCTTAAAAGTATTTGTGAAATTTTTGTGTCCCTTCATGTTTTAATATATTTTCCAAATTTTTAAAATCACAACACAGCGTTAATTAAAACAAAATCATTTAAGTCAAACATTTTTACGAACACAGAAAATGTAGAAATGTTTCTAAATTTGGTGCTGTTTTGAAATACTTTAGCTATGAAATTTGCATACTTGCGAGATAGCAAAAAAGCGTCCTTTTGGCACAGCCACGAGCAAGAAAATTATATCATGATCATCTTTTTGTAGAACAAAAACTTGAATGGTAAGTAACACCGAGTCGAATATTTCTATCAGGGTTGGAATCGGTCAATTTTCAAACGAGGAGCCGAAGTCGGAAAATTTTTTCATCCAACCCTGACAGCACGGAAATAAGAAACAGAAATAAATATAAGACCTTCCTTCTTCACTAAGAGTGTTGACCATATTTCTTTACAAAACCCATTATTGATTTAATAATTTTAATTAGCGTTGTTCATCCGAGCAAGACAACAAGCTTTAGGCACACTCAAAATTATATAAACAAAATTTCAAATGAATCAATATAAACGTGATGTTAAAATAATATTAAAACGATAAAATATTAAGCAAAGGATGTAAAAACCAAAATTTGAATACTTCTTAAAAGGAGAGTTCATTTTTTGGGAATGTGACTAAAAGAATTTTAGAAAAATACAAACAGGCTAAATAAATATAATTAAAAAGTTTTATTTTCCTAAATTAATCTGTAGAATTATTCAACAAATCAGAGCTTCAAAGTTGAGTGATTATATCAGCGTTGGCCAAATTCAGTTTGATTGCGTCATCGTCAGCAAATTTAGTTGCAAATGATTTCGAATCGGGACTGACAATATTTTTCATCAAATTATCTCCAGCCGATGAAAATGCAGACGACTCAATCTGGTCATCAGTTTTCGTGCTCTCGCTTATCTGGAGGATTTCCGTAAGAGTAGAACTTCTTGAAGGGGCGAATGTTATCTCGTCATCAACAGTCATGTACGTTTGCATATTTGTTGATGCTTTTGAATGACACAATTCAGCACAAAACTTCTCGAGCAACAAATCAACTAGGTACGACTGTATTTTTGGATTATAATGCTTCAGATTAAAAATGTTTCTAAATTAAAAAATTGTACAAAAAAGAAAATCAATGAAGAAAATGAAAGATTACTTCAACGATGAAACTGATCATGAAGTTCAAAATTGCTGTTGCAACGATTAATACTCTAAAAATGAAAGAAGGTGACAAGGAAAGCTGCAAATATATTAAACGAAATGTTTATAAAACATTTTTTATAATTTTTTTCAAATTCAGTTAATAAATTTTTTGATGGTGGGTTCAATTAGAAGGGACTCAATATTGCAAGAAGGTTGAAAATTATTTTAAAACATTGACAAAAAAGGATGCCTAGCAAATTAATCTAATCTGCCAGCCATAATAATCATAACTTCAGCAAAAACTGAGTTTTCAGCATGAATGCCACCAAATTAAAATGAGAAATGTTGAAAAGTTAAAAATATAAAGTTCACAAATGATCCACACTTCCACAGATAAACGTAAATTTATGTAAAATCGGTGAATAAAAATCTACAGTACTTACTTCCAAAACTTTTTGCAGCCACGGAAAAGGACAAAGAGTCAAATAGGCTGAGAGCACAAAACACACAATAATGTCCACTAAGAAAACATCTGTTGAAATTCAATAAAATAAAATGTAAGATTTCAACCTTCAATTCTTCTATCATTTAACAGTAACTAAGCAAAAGAATCATTGAATCAGCCAGCCAGCCAAGAAGTCAACCAATCAGCTAATCAGCCTACCTACCAACCAACCAATCAGCTAATCAGCCTACTTACCAACAAACCAATTGGCTAATCAAACAACCTATCAACCAACCAGCCAGTCAAACAACCAACCAAACCATCCAAACCTATGACTAATAATTAAAATAAAGGCATTTTAAAATTTATATGAAAGAGCTGATGAACGTCTGCTGAACTTATCTGTTACATGCAAATATCATTTTTTCTTTGCAAATTTAAAAGACTGAAGTGTTAATGGTTCAGACTTAATCAAATTTTAATATCCTACAATAGCGAATATTTAACGAAAATGTAGACAATTAAAAATTCACAGTTTGAAAAGATATTTCTGCGATGTGGAGATCCTTTTGTGAAGACGATGGACATGGTGATGTACTGAAATGATGATATGGCGAATATGAGCGTCACTTCATGACACCGGTAGTTACGGTCGTTGTGGTCAACAAATGCTTCAAACCTGTTCAATTAATTTATTAAACAAATTACTAAATCCGTTTACATTATTGATAGTTATAAAAATAATGAACGTCAGCTGTTTAACCAACTAAGCGTTAAATCATTTTACCATGACTAAATTTTAACAGTACATTCATTAACTCTAAAGATATGAAAAAATTTTAAAAAGTTGTAGAAGGAAAGGTTAGCATGTGCTGTACATAAATGTTTTGTACAAGTCTTCTCGCCTACAAGCAGCCTCAAATATTTCTGACATAATCCCTTAATATATTTGTTTCGACTGTAATATGTTGGTCTTAGTGCTTCTTGGCCCCATGAACGACTCAATCGATATTAGCTATTTTTGTGATGCCTCGTATTTAAACAGGTTCAGACCACTTGCTGAAGTAATCGATTTAATTATAGACGGCTTGATGATGGTGTAATGGTTTCAAAGTCAGCTGGTTTTTACTTTGGAGTGATCTGATTTAATGCAAAATGATCTCCGCATATTATGTAACGTGTGCGATACGCGATTTTACTGCATAATCAGGTACGCTGTGTGTGTGTGTGTGTTGTGTCATTAACACATATATTTTGACAAGGAAAAATGACTCTTCACATTAACATTTGGTGCTTTAGTTACCAAACTAACTTTTCGATAAAAAAATAGTTACATAAAGAGCATTTCTGTATTTAATATTACGGCCTTCTACAGTATGCACAGTTCAACAGTTGCCACCTCAGGAATGACCCGGAGACTCCGGGAATCGAACCTCAACTCCCGTCTCCCGAAAGTTTTTTACAAATCTCGAAAACATCCCGGAATTTTGCAGCAATCATATTTTTGAAAAAATATGTAAAATAAAAATAATGCTGGAGCGCAAGCCAGTCATAACGAAATTGCAATTTAAAAAAAATTAATATTGTTGGCTTGAGTTAATTGCACATCCCTGTTTGGTTTCGGAACAGCTGCTGCAAAGAAACTTTTTGAAGATCTTCCATACATAAAAAAAAATAATCATTTTCAAAAACGATTTTGATCAGTTCTACGGCAAATATTTAATTTATCTCGACAGACGGTGTGATTAAGAATGTTCTATATTTCAATCAATAAGTATTTTAATGTTGAAAGATCCTGTAAAGTAGCCTTCTTTCCAGAAACTTGTAGAAAATTTGGAAATAAACATTGATCTTGACAAACCTAACTAACGATGATTTTTGTGCGTTGAGCAGCGTTCAAACACTGTTAGTCCAGAAACATGAAAACGTGGTTGACAAATGGAAAGAATACTCTATCAAACTTAAGGACAAAAATTGCAGAAATGAGTTTTAACTTCTTTTGTATTTTCTATACCAGTTTCTAATGCTTCGTGTGAATGAACATTTAGCGTTATGATTTCTGCGTGGACAAAAGAACGAAATCGTCTTTCTCTAAGTGTACGGAGAGCTGAGCTGCGAATTTGTGAAAATTTAAAATACAGTTGTTCTCAATTTCATGACCTCCTGTTGCAACATCAAATCAAGAGTACACTTTTAAGCAAAAATAATTCTTTTAGAAACTATTGCAAAATATTGTAATAATGTTTTTGTTAACAAAATTAAATAAAATAGTGTTTCTCATTCTATTTTTGTGGCCTCTTTTATTCAACCAAACGTTTTGAAATTAAGATAGAAACTTATATACGTAATGCACATTTTGCCCACACACAACATTTCATTTCAAATTTTACAAAGCGCCATTTCCTTAACGTTCAACGGTACTATCCAAACGACATGCACAAGTGAACGCGCAAATCCCGCATCATATACACTGATATGATAACCTTGGACATATGGCATAATCTGGTTTCGAGCCCGATGACATGAACGTCATTGACCAACGCTCTAACCACTACACCACAGTTGCGGTCACACACACACACACACACATAGCGCTATATAAAACTTATGTACATATATTTATTCATTTATTTCTTCGGGAACTCCGTCATCGAGAGGTGTCAACTCTAAACAGTTGGAACATCTCTTGCACCAATGTAATCAGCCTTTTTGTTATCTTAATCAGTGAAATATGATGAACATTTTATTTTTTTAGTTTAATTTTTTTTTTGAGTATAATAAAAGTTTGTAAATGCAGTGTGTTAGTTTTTGATCATTAGAAATAGGTGCGGTCTCAAATGAGTTAATTAATTAATTAAAAAAAAGAAGATTTATAATTAAAATTTTTCAAAATTCGTTCTAAAGGAAAATGTATCAATAATGAATTCCGTGGAAAATTGTTTTGAAAAAGTTACTTTGTGTTGAATTAAAATGGTAAAAATGTTTTAATTTTCTTGCTTTGTGCTCAAGCTCATTTTTTCACTTTTAACCGTTAACATTCAATGCTCGCTCGACTAAAAAAATGTAAATATATATATATATGTATATAATATACATCATGTATGTGTGTGTGTGCGTGCGTGTGTGTTAAATTTGCTGATAAATTTTATAGTTATCGTTTTTGTAGATTGTAATAATTTTAAAAGTGGACAGTAGATGTGTCTTGTGATGATTCGTGCGAGTTTGTAATAATGTGTGGATAAATAGAATATAATGGTAAAGTGATGATGGTAGTGGTGATTATGATGGTATAACGACTTTTTTATCGGTTGGTACTAAACACTGCAATGTCATCGTGTTTTAGAAATTTTTGTAAAGATAAATCCAAATCTATCTGATAAATGCATTTTTTTTATAATATAACTAACGTCCACCGAATTTCAAAAATCTGGCAAAAACAGATCGGACGAAAAATTTATCAGGCGAATGTAACCCTCATGAACTGATCTGAGTCATTAAAAACTATAATAAAATATTTTAAACCATGATGTCTAAGAATAATTTTCACGGTTTCATGAGAGTATTTAAAATAAATTTTTATTTCCAGGATTTTTGAATAATAAATAATAAAAAAATTGTTTGTATTATTAAATTCAAAAAATAAATATAACAAATAATGCAACGAACTACTGACCACGGCTGATTGCTCGCAAACCGCCAGAGAAGGAACTGGAAGGAGAGATTGACGACGAGTTGAAATATGACGGAAAGAATTGGTGGAGCTGCTATGAGGGTGACTGAAGGTGGTTTCTTGCCAAGATTCCAATGAGAAGCAGTATAGGAAACTTTATAAATACATCAAATAACGTTAATAAAACAAATAGCATTAAATAATGAAGACTTTTCTTACTTCTCAGCATAAATAGAAGCCTCGACTTAAAAAGTAATTAGTATACTTAATTATTAATATTTAGTTGTTCATCCAGTTATGCAGTATAAAAAATGTTTTTCTTCATTCTTTAGTTCACTATGCCTAAACTAAAGTCTTGTGCAAATGTCGTAGAGTTTGTCTGGAAGGATAATTGTAATGGCTTAGAAAGTGTCCGCAGATGTTCAGAAGACAAATTATTATAAGATATACATTTTCTAAACTTCGCTGCAAGCAAGTGTAAAACGTAAAGGTAATTTGAAAACCATGTTCCAAAATGATAATTTGTTATTCAGTCAACCAAAACAATGCTGTTAGTAAATTAAAGTTCGTGTAGGAAAAAATCAAAACTTTTAACAACAGCTGATACAAGTAATTTAAAAACTCACGAGTGAGAAGAGACAAGCGATAAAGAGGACAATATGATTTAAATTTATTAAAAACACTTGGCAGAAAAGTGTAAAAAATATAAATTTGTAATAATTTAGAGACGTGTAGTAGGACAGCTTTTGAGGCACCGAATCGAATGATATGTAAAAATCTTGATGGCAAATTATAACAAAATAGAGTATGGTGTGAGGGGAGTGAGCAGGAAGGAATCTTCAATTTAACGACATTTATGAAGAGTGTCATTTTATCAACTAAAATAAATTCCAAATTGCAACCCTACTACTAAGGAAAATTATAACGAACAGCAAGACATTTTATGTAGTGCAATTCACAATGTTTGAACATCTGAAATCTTGCACCAACTAGCTCATCGTCAATTTTAAACACGAATGAACAATCAATTAAATTGATTAAAATATCAATCAATCGATCTTCGTGGATGAAGTTTTATGTCATGCCCAGGACCGATGATCAAATTAAATGATGATTAAATTGATAAAATATAAAAAAATTATTGGTAATAAAACACTTCTACAACTGATTAAAGTATAAATTTAAAAAACACACAATAACAAAATAACTAATATAAGGAATAAGGTAATTTATTTCAAGTTCTTACAGGTTAGCCCAAGACTTGTCAACAGAACTAGATCAATATACAGAAAAGCAAAATCAGTGAAATTAGCGCCAATCTGAAAAAAAAATTATAAAACACACGGAAATAATCCAAATGTTTTTTGTAAGCGACTTAAAAGTAATAATCAGAAAGTCAGTATAACTAAAAACTCTAATAGAATTATTCATAAATGAATTTTTAAAAGATACTAAATTTCGAGCATCGAAAATGTATCTTGAAAACAGTTTGCAAAATTCAATATAATTACCCAGTAGAGAAGACAAACGGACAAAAACTGCGTTAAACTGTAACCAGCCATGAATTTGAACGTTCCGAATGACGTCACTAAGGCTGCTCGACCTTCCCTGGTGAGAACATAATCAGTCGTTTGGAACAATTCGCAGCAAAAATGCAGTAGAGCGTGAAATGAAATACAACAAATAAAGATATGTACATGAAAATATAAAAAAAAGTAACACAATGGTTCGGTTCACAAGCACTGATTCTTTCAAATGGTGCGGTGCAAATAAAATACCTTAATGAAAATGTTTTTCATGCATCATCATCATCAAAAATAAAATAAAAATGTGTTTCCATAACTAAATGACGAGAAACATATTGGATAATTGAATTCAAGTAGTACATTACGAACCTCATGACATTTAAGACACATGATATGTTGGCTTGCTTGGAAGTGAATGGAGAGGCAACGGACGCCTCCGCCTCTGAAAGGGAGATTCCAGCATGGGCAGTCTTCAAGGCTCCACAATCATTCGCACCATCTCCACACATGCCCACAAAGTACCTACGAACAAATGTTTATTTCCAACAAAAATTCTTTTGTATCTATAATTATAAATTAACTGTATCACGTACAAACAGGCGTTATAAAGATTCACATGAAAGAGAAACACAAAACTAAAATTATTAAGCAAATCTTGGACCACAATGTTGAAATCCTGCATTACAATAATAACTAATATAATTCACGATTAGCTGAGTCAATACTTATAGAACAAGGACACCCGATAATAAATATACAAGAACGTGCATGGAATCCTTCCCACATACCAGAAACAGAGGAGATGATGACACGTAAAAGTGTCACACTGCACAAAGTTGAAGATCGTAATAACTAATTAAATGACCACCAAGTATTCACTTTAAACAAACAAAGAATTAACATTGTAGAGGCAGAGGATATATACACCTGAGCATTCGGATATATACACCACAATGTATCAATTCGAACACCGAAGATGGTATAGGAATATCGAAAAATGCTTTTTTGTTCTACCATGCTTACAGTAAAGTAAATAAATATTTGGGTTTTGAACTCAAGAAACTTGACAATGTTTTACGATCTAACGTAAGAAAAATCGAAAAATTAAGCAGGAAATTAACTAACGCGGAACACGTTGTGATTTTCCTCAGTAATTGAATTTCTTATAGTCTTAATCCAATATATATATATATATATATTGTTATTATTATTATTATTATCATCAACAATTTATTAAGCGCATTATAAAATTAAAATTTCTCGAGAGCGCTCTTTATTATAAATGAAATCAGTGAAGGTCAATAAAGTACAAATCGATAAAGTATTTCTATATCAAAATAAATGTTTTTAAGTTCCTCTTAAAATCATCTTTAGTCCAGGCATTCTGAGCGATTGCGGAAGACTGTTCCAGGCAATTGGTCCTGACACGGCAATATTTCTAGTTGCAATTTGTAGTTGAGTTGTTGTCACTGCCAGTAGGTTGGCATAGTCTGATCTCAATTTTACACCTGTTGAAGAAGCTGGTTTTTTTTAAGATTTTATTTACTAGATATACTGGTAACAACCCGTTCATAGCCTTATACATAGTCACACAAATCTTATAGTTGATTCTTTTTTTCACTGTTAGCCAATGTAGGTCTCTTAAAATGGGTGTCACATGGTCATACTTTCTACGTCCAACAGTTATTTTTTGCAGCTCTATTCAGTATCGATTGAAGAAAAGCAATAGATCTCTCTGGTAATCCATTAAACAAGCCATTACAGTAGTCTAACCGTTGAATGAACAAACGCATGAACTAGTGTTTGCATAGTTGTTTGATGTAAAGATTTTCAAACGCGGTATAACTGGCAAAGCTGATAAGAACATGATTTAGATATGGTTTTTATATGATCCTTGAAAGATAATCTTCAAAAATACATCCTAGGTTTGTTGCATTTTCACAGAATTGTATTTCATTATTATCAATTTTGACTGAATTAATATTAATTTTAGAAAGCTGTTGCCATGTACCGACTGATAAAAATTGAGTTTTCTCTTGATTCAATTTGAGACAATTTCTTGACATCCATGTGCCTATTTTAGTCAAGCATTCAATGAGATTTTCAACTTTTAAACAGTTCTGGTTCACTGCTAACTATTATTTGGATGTCATCCATCAGCGTACGCATGATATGAAAATCCAAATGATTCTATTACTTCATATACTTCAGCAGTGTGCAGTACAAACAAAATAGGTTCCAGGACTGAGCCTTGTGGTACACCAGATGACATTGCTTCAATACCAGATAATTTGTTCCCGAAAAAACCTGCTGAGTTTTTTCAAACAAGTACGAATTGAACCAATTAGCTACAACTCCAGTAACTCCGTAATCATATTGTAGGCGATTCATCAGGATTTGATGGTCTACGCAATCGAAGGCAGCACTCATGTCCAAGAATGTAAGCAAGAAACATATTGTTTATCAATAGCATTAAACAACTCAGACGTAACATACAGCAGTGCTGTTTCAGTTGAGTGATAACGTTTATATCCAGATTGAAATTCTGGTATTAAGCTATTTTTGTGTAGATAACTCAGTAGCGGACTGGCAACAACTCGTTCAATAACTTTGTAAACAAAGCAAATGTTTGATATGGATCTGTAACTTTTCATTTCATTCCTATCATCTTTCGTTTTCTTCAAGACAGGTTTAATAACTGCGTGCTTACATTTATTCGGAAATAATCCCTCTTGCAAACATAAGTTAAGCATATATATTTTTTAAACACACACACACACACTCACACACACGCATATATATATATATATACATATATATATATACATATATTTATATATATATATATATATATATATAGGAGATGCCATTTATTCCAGGCTGCACGTATGCGTGCTCGAACGGCAGCTTCAGCTGTTCTAGTACAATCCAGAACATCCCCTAGATATTGAAACGATGTGACTTTCTCTATCATAATGGCTTCAAAAACATTGCTATTTCGAATTTGTTGTTGTGGATTGATGCAAGCAGGACAAACAAAATTGGACACTTTAGATAAAGTACCAATTATTTTTGAACAACGTTTGTGACACCACTGGTTACACTGCTGACACTTGATTGAATTGTTACCAACACCAGCTTTACAAACAGAACAGGGCCATCGTCCAGTAACTGTGGATTGAATGGGTTCACCAGTGTTCATTGCTTTGGTTTTGCTGATGTTGACTTTGAATCCATGATCGGCGAGTCTGGTGTTCCAATCTTCAAACATCCGTCCTGCATTCTGCTCAGACGTGGCTGTTAAAATGATATCATCAGCATATACTAGATTATAAATAACAGTGGACTGAGAATCGAGCCTTGGTGAACTCCAACGCCGATGTCAAATGCATCTGTGTTTCCAACCGTTGTGCTGACAAGAGTCTTAGTATTCGTATACATATCCATCACAAGTCGAACAAGATATTCTGGAATGAGTTGTCGAAAAGACTCCATCTGCTTGCTTCACGGGGACTCACTCAAATGCTTTTTCAAGGTCTACAAAAATGTGTGATAGCTGTTGATGCTTTGCGAGGTATTTCTCTTGCAGTTGCCGAAGGATGTGAATTGCATCAATTGTTGATTTCCCCGCCAGGAAACTAAATTGATAATTTCCGATTGTGATGCACGACGTTAATCTTCTCTCAATGATTTTTTCGACAATTTTCAGGGAGTGTTCTAACAGAGGTATACCCCGATATGATGAACAGTTCAATGAATCACCTTTGCCTTTGTATAGCAGGACTGTCATGCTATAGTTCCATTCAGTCGGCATGGAGCAATTTCTCCAGATTTCACGGCAAAGTTGTAGTAACGTTTGGATACCTGCAGTACCAGATGCTTTGATAATGTCATTTGTGAGTCCAGAGGGCCCTGCTACCTTTCCATCCTTCATAGCTTTCAGAGCTTCTGTAAGCTCCTCTACAGTGATGTCTGAAATCGGACCTTCGATGGGTGGAGCGTCAAAGTAAACATTGATGGGATTTGTTTCGTTTAACAGACGGTTGAAGTATTCTTTCTCTCCACTGTAACTTGATCTCATCTTGTTCAAGAACCATCTCATTTTTGTCGTTTTTGATACATGAGGCACCAACTATGTCTTTTTTCGTACGTTTTGCTTGTTTTGCTATACGACACAGATGTTTCATTTGTACACCTTTGCTTTTAGTGAGCCACTCTCTGCACTGATCTGTCCGAGCCAGTGCAACTTGACGTCTTGCATAGTTGTTCTTCTCACGGAAAATTTTATGGTCATCAACAGATTTGATTTTTGCCATTGCTTGTAAGCAACTTTCTTTTCAGCTATTGCATTTTGTACACTGTCATTCCACCACCAAGTGTCACGTTCATGCTGACGTTTTGTACCAGTTTTCCCACAAACTGTAGTTGCAGCGTTCATCAAAACGGTTTTGTATGTACTCCAATCTGTACTGGTTTGCGATTGGTGGTCTAACTGTGTGGCGACAATCTGTTGAAATTTTTCTCGATAAATATTGTTTATCAGCTTCCACGTTTTGATTCTCCGAGGCATTTGTTTAGTCTTATGTTTTGACAGTTCGACAACCAGGTCTGCCACAAAGAGTCTATGTTGGGCGACACATGATTCGCCTGGTATAACTTTGACATTTTTGAATAGCCGATTCGCCTGGTATAACTTTGACATTTTTGAATAGCCTTCGGTGTTGTTGCTTGACAGCGAAGAAATCAATTTGCGTGGCTGATGGTCCATTTTTGTATGTTATGAGATGTTCCAACCTCTTTCTAAAATATGTATTCAGTAAACAAAACCCGTGACTTTCAGCAAACTCAAGGATGCGGTTGCCATCTTCATTCCGGTTTCTATAGCCAGAACCGCCATGTACGTTGTCAAAACCATCTGTTTTCTCTCCAACGTGGCCATTGGGATCGCCTCCAATCAGGATTGTTTCAAATTTTGGTATTGTAGAGATGGTGTCAGAGAATGCAGCTCAGAAGTCATTTTTTCATCTCTTCTGATTCGCCTGTCTGTAGTGCGTATGCAGAAGGAATAATCATTGTTTGCTTGTCTATGCGAAGCTTGATCCACATGAGACGTGAATTAATCCTTTTAATATCCAGTACTTCTTGGGCAAGCGGTTCTCTGATAAAAATTCCAACACCATTTTTAGCCGTCTTTTGAACATTCCAGAATAGTTTATATTTTTCTTTGTCTGAGTTAACCAAACAGACACCATTCGATTTCCATCGGGTTTCCTGAAGGCAGCAGGTGTCAATCCTTCAACGCTCTATATGTATATAATAACCAAGACAAAAACTAAGAAAAAGTACAGAGCAAAGAAACCACAATTTTTTTATTGAATTTGGTAGCGTTTAATTGTCGAGTTTTTGCTGAATAAGGTGTTATAATTTTTATTACAATTAGTTTCAGTTAATCTTGTATTATTTGATTAGTCTATCTTAATTTAATTATAACTAGTGTTAAATCGACGAAATTGGACAGCTATAGTTGTGTTGATATTGTAGGATAGTCTCTGAAGTTGTATCGTTTGCTTTGAAATTCTGTTTTGTTTTGTGCTGCGCTAAATTTACAGACTCGTGAACTGAACTAAGATATTTACGTGATTAAGTGTTTTACGTGATTCAAAAGATTTTTACGTGGACTTTAATAACTTTGTGTTACAACAATGATGGGTAGAAATACAAAGAGTGCCAACAAAGCAGCTGCTTGTGAGGGCATTAATGTAGTATGTGACGGTTGTTCGGTGTCGTTCTTGGTTCCAGGCATGTTTGATGAAGCACTGACTTCAATTACAGCATTCAGAATTTTTTGTGTTGCATGTTCTGGCTTATCACCTATCGAGAAAATTGTTTCCGAAAAAATTGAAGCTGGCAACTCAGCAGTATTTGATGAGATGAAAAAAATGAACAAATTGAATAAGGATATTAAACAGCAGATTGACGCCATCAAAACGATTATTGATGAGGGTGGTGGTAAACTTTCGAGAATGGATGCTTTTGGGTCAAAACTATGCGATGAAATAACGGTTTTGAAGCGTGAAGTTGTCAAATCTCAAGTTGGTAGAAGTGTGCAAGCAATCAATGATGATGTGAAAAGTATTCGATACCAACAATCAAGATAACGACATCATCTTGTATTACAGAAATCACATGTCAACTGCATACTAAGTAGATGAAGCTATTCTTAAACATATCATCAAAAAAAATGTCACACCAACCAACCCAAATAGTAAAGTTAAACTCCGAATTTTTCACAACAATAAAAAAACGTTTCACCTAATACTGAAAAACAATTGTAGTCCTAGAGATAACTCTGTGTTAGAGCGTAATCACGTAATATATGAATTTAATTGCCCCTTTGACGGCTGTGCACGTCAACATGACTCATATATCGGGATTACTACTACCTCATTGACTAGAAGGCTTACGATGCATAAACAGAGTGGTGCTATCAAATCTCATTTGGCCTCAACACACTCAATCACTATAAGCCGCAAAATCCTCGACCACAACATTAAAGTAATATACCAGAACACCAACTACACGCATCTTAAAATTGCAGAAGCAGTCCTAATTGACATCAATAAACCTAAAATAAATATACAACAAAAAATGACAACCTCACTCCCAACCCGGCGCTTAATCAACAATGAAAACACAACACACGTTTACACGACATTTTACCCGAGATCGGGGGTGGCCGTTTGGCTACCTATGATGAAACCGAAATACCCCTCGACGCCATTCACATCTGCAACTCGACTCAGTTTCACGCAACTGACCGACTCAAACATTTAAAATTTATAATTTGAAGTTTTTTTGAAGTTTAGTCGTTATATATATATATATATATATATATATATATACACAATATTCTATAAATTCTACCGAATGTTTGACGTTAATATGTTTGTTGTACGTTTTTTCAATTTTTCTCACTAAAGTTGTTTGGAGTTAACGCTGTGTTAAAGCGTAATCACGTAATATATGAATTTAATTGCCCCTTTGACGGCTGTGCACGTCAACATGACTCATATATCGGTATTACTACTACCTCACTGACTAGAAGGCTTACGATGCATAAACAGAGTGGTGTTATCAAATCTAATTTAGACTCAACACACTCAATCACTATTAGCCGTGAAATCCTATTACCAACATATATATATATATATATATATATATATATATATATATATGTGTGTGTTGGTAATAGAACATAATTTTAATAATATAAATTCTACATGTTTGTAGTTCGTTTTTTCAATTTTTCTCACTAAAGTTTTTTGGAGAACGTTTAGTTTATTAAAATTCAAAATAAACTTATTTTCTGAATTCATGTTGCAAATAAGGCCATATTTCGATTCCGAATGAATCATCATCGGTGCAAGCTGATTTATATATGGAAATATTCACTTTGTGAAAGTGAACTTAGATGGAAATTAGGTGTCAGATATCTTTATTGGCTGGTCCATCTTCGTTGGTTTCCTTTTCTTCATCGATAGCATCATATTCCTCTTTGTCATTATTTACAATGCAAGTTTTTTTATTCTTACTTTGTTATCACCGTTTTTGTTTGCAATTGTGATGGATGTTATTTGTGGAAACATAATGGAGGGGTTGTTATTTGAATTTTGTATGCATATGGTTTAGTCTTGATGGATGATAGCTTGGAAAAATTGCAGTTAAAATTTGACAGATGGAAAAGTGTTATCGAAAAGAAAGGGTTAAAAGTAAACATTGGTAAGACGAAGGTAATGGTGAGTGGAAAAGGTGGGGAGCGAGTGATAAGTAAAATAGACCCCTGTGGGGTATGTGACAGGAGAGTGAAGGCTAACTCGGTATTGTGTATAGGATGTCAGAAGTGGGTGCATAAGAGATGTAGTGGTGTGAGGGGGGCACTGAAAAAGGTGGAAGGCACGTTCAAATGTAAGAAATGTGTTCATGGTGTGATTAATAGGACGGACGCAAGGACGGAGTTGAGTGGTGGTATTGAAAGAGTGGAAAGCTTTGTTTATTTAGGGGTTAAGCTGAACGCGGATGGAGGATGTTTGAGCGCAGTTACGGCTAAAGTTCGTGTGAGATGGATGAAATTTAGGGAACTGGGTGGGGTATTGTGTGGAAAGAAATGGTCAGTGAAGATGAAAGGGGGTATATAAAGCATGTGTGAGAGCAGCGATGGTATATGGTGGTGAAACTTGGGTGTTGAGAAGAGAGGAGGAAAGTGTACTGCAGGGGGCTGAAAGAGCTATGGTAAGGATGATGTGTGGAGTTGAAGTGAAGGATAGGAGGAGTAGTACAAAGCTGATGTCGATGATGGGACTGAATGAGGACATTGTGACATTGATAAGGAGATCGAGATTGCGATGGTATGGACATGTGTTGAGAAGGGATGAAAGGGTCGGAATTAGGCGAACGTTGGAGTTCGAGGTTGAAGGAGTGATAGGAAGAGGTCGTCCGCGACTGAGATGGAGAGAGCAGGTGGAGAAGGACAAAGTGAAAGCGGGGTTGCGTGATACTGAGGCGAGTGACAGATGTGAATGGCGTCGAGGGGTATTTCGGTTTCAGGACAGAGTGAAAGCGGGGTTGTGTGAAGATGTTGGGAGTACCTAAATGTTTTGTATGTCATTGGGTTAGAAAAGTATGACTTAGGACAGATTATTTACTAAAGTATTTCTATGGTGTCACCTCAAAGGTGCAATGTCAAGATAATGGAATTTGAAGAGTTACGACACTGAGTCATAATTTGCCATAATTTGTATCTGCCTAGATTGAGATATCAAAAATTTCGTTATGCCGCATCAAATATCTATTTAAGGCCAATATCAAAACGCAATTTAATTAAAATCATTGGAAAAAGTTGAAATAAAGATTTTTATGATTGTTTCGGCCCATTCAAACAGCCTTTAGCCTCGATGTATTCAGCATGAAGTGTTCCAACTTTATAGTCACTTTTTAGATTTACAGAGACAATAATGCTTGAAAAAATTTATCACTTATAGCTATGAAAAAATTAAAACAATAAAACAAATATACCCGTTTTCTTGAAGTAATTCAATAAGCTGCTGCTTTTGTTCTGGCAAAAATCGTGCAAATACTGTACCCCTAACGGCCAGCTGATTTGAAAACAGTCAACGATAATAATTTATTTGTATAATAATTTGGACAGTAATTTGAAAAATTGTAGAACAGACAATTAAAGAATAAACAATAAAGCATAAGAAATCATTAATTTAAAAGCGAACGTCCTTTATCTAAAAATTAAAACAATTATGACAATAATAATTTTATTAACATTACAGAAATAAAAAAATTATAAAAGGTGGATAAAAATAAAACATAACATAACAAACACTGACATATTTAACTCATTCCTAACATAATAGACATATTTAACTCTTTCCTTGTTGTTTCGACAGTAGAAATTCAAAAAAAATTCTAAAATTCATTTTGGTTTTACCAAGTAAAATCTCTTTACTTGGTGCTTTTTACTTCTTTTCTTAAACAGTTTCACTTTTGCTCCGGTGTTATCAAAACCTACTAATCTTTTCTTCAATGATGGTATATTTCCAGCCCCTTTCAAAACTGCCAACATCAATTCTTTCAAATTGTCGTCCCATATCAAACCTCTCAAACTTATATGAACTTTTGGACGTTTGGTCCACAACAGAATTCCTCCACACATTATCTTCTTTCTAATTTTTTCTCCTCTTCAGTCCGCATCTAGACCTGATTTTTCTACTAAAATAGTTATTTTCAACCTGTGCAATTTTCTCGCCAACATTTGCTTTAACCGGTTCTGGAAAGTTATTAATATCATAAATCTTTCTGCAGCCCTTGACACGATGTTATATATATTTTCTCCAACAAGTTCAAAATAAACTTACCAACCTTTTTCAAAATTTACTCCGTCTTTCTTCAAGCTCATAATCCCTCATTTCTCTACATTGGTTATCATTACATTGCAGTCATTACATACAAAATACCCAACATGTTTCAAACATCCTATCATCGTAGCATAGTTTAATCTTTTCAACTACATCACCCAGTTAACAAATCAAACTTCATCAACAGAAGTTTCTTTTATTGTTCTACTTTAACATAAAAACTTTACCAACAACCATTTATAAATCATTTTAACAGGCCTTCAAAGGCTATGCTAATGTTTGTTTGGTCTGATACCCATTAAGCAGCACACAGGCACTTCATAAAAAACATTATTATCATTAATATTAGTATCAATATCAACCTTGTCTAGAATATCTGGATAAAATTTTTTAATATTCAACCATGATTTGCCATCAACAATCAAATGATTCATTCCAAATTGCTCCACATCCAACACTTCAACTGGTAACTGCAATTAATTATATATTATTATTATTATTGATCATTTATATAGCGCTACTTTAAAAAAATCTCAAAAGCACTCACATAAATAAAAAAGTATACGAGTGAAAAATTAAAAAAAAACTAGATGTTAAACCAAAGAAAATAAATGTGTTTTCAATCTTTTGAGTCCCAAGATGCACTCCGTAATAATCTTTTCAGGTTTAAAATATGGAGACCTAAATCCAAACGTAACACTTCATCGTGGATCTCAACCGTCAAGAATTCACAACATATTAATTTTGGTTTGTTGAACACTCGTTCAAGATATGATGCGGGATTATAGTCTAAATGTGCTAGGTTTAACAGAGACATGGGTTGCATCTGATGACCCTGATATAGTCAAGTGTGATGTCACTCTACCTGGCTTCTCAGTTACTCATCAGCACAGAGGTACAAGTGTTGATAAGAAAGGAGGTGGTATTGCAATCGTCCATCGAGACTACATAGATTGTTCAAAAATCACCTAACATTCAACAACCGGCTTTGAGCTACTCGCTGTCAAGCTCCATTATACTAAACATCCGGTTCATATTTTCATCATTTATAGGCCACCTGGTCCTATTACATCTAAACTCCTACATGAATTTAATAATTAAATTAATAGTGTTATTTCGACAAACGTCAGATTCATAGTGTGCGGTGATTTTAACGCGCCTTCTCCTCAAGCATCAGTAAATGTTGAACTGTGGAAAATCATAGATGAGTTTAATCTGCTCCAACATGTTTGTCCGCCTTCACATGATAATGGCAATATCCTCGACCTGCTTATCACACCGAAAGAACATTCAATCATCGTTTCAACAGTCAATGTCTACCCAACATCGTTTTCTGATCACAGCCTCATCACCGCTTTTCGACTCAACATTACATCCAATAAGGTTACGTTCAAAAATATTAAAAAAGTAAATTGGTCAAAGTTTAACGATGACCTATTATCCTCCTCATTCTTGAATGTGATAAACACGCTGTTCATCAGTATGCATCTTATATCAACTCAATAGTTACTCAAACACTTGATAAACAGGTTCCATTAAAAACAAGGGGTTTCCGCAAAAATCTAGATTCCTATAACTTCATATCAAATGACGCCCGAAGTGCAAAAAGACACAAGCGCAAAATGGAGTGTGTATACATGAACAATAAAACTATAATCAATAAACTTAATTATGATAATGCAAAAAGGATGGCCCGGGAATAGATCCTTAAGTCCAGAGTGGATTTGTTGAGAAGTGAACTCGACAGGTCGATGAACCTGCGCGCCACTTGGCGCAACTTCAACAAACTCCTACACAGGAATCGCAACGAACCCTATATCAATAATTCTAAAACTTCATCATCGGTCGATAGCTTCAACGACTACTTCATCAGCATAATCAACAATATTTGTAAAAATATTGAACAACAATTATTGGTATCATCAGATGATGCAGGTTTAGATCATGTTACTACCTCGGCCTGCAATCATCTTCGCTTCGGGCTCTTCGATGATGTCACACCTGATGAGATCAAGAGCATCATCAAATCTTCCTGCAATAAAACATCACCAGTGGACCCTTTTCCACATCAATTATCAACAAACTGCATCAACCAAACACCTTGTCAACTACCATATTCATCCTAACGAATCTCTCATTTCATAGCCAATTTCCTGATAGCTTTAAAACAGCGCAGGTTCTCACACTCATATAAAAACAGAATTTAGGTAGGTCCGATCCATCCAATTATAGACAATATCCAATCTATTTACCATTTCAAAAATTATTGAACGGGCAGCTCTAAAGAGGCTACAGCCTTACATCTTTCAACATCCAAGTTTTACGGCTCTCCAGTCGGCTTATCGCACATGTCACTTCACAGAGACGGCTTTGTTGCACATGCTCGACCACGTGTTTAACTCCTGCAACAATAACCAGGCAACAATTCTTGACGGATTAGATTTGTCGGCGGCTTTTGACACTATCAGTCTTGACATATTGTTGAAACGTTTAAACGTCGATTTCGGTGTTGATGGATCTGCCATGTTATAGCTCTCATCCTACCTGTCTGGTCGCAGCCAATTTGTCGAAATATCGTAATATGTATCACCAGCAATTAAAAACGGAGCACACCAGGGCTAGGTCCTGGGTCCTTTTCTTTTTACGTCATATATCTCGCCAATTCACAAGATTATCAAAAGGTTCAATGTATTCTAACACCAATACGCTGATGATGCACAACTCTCAATCCCACTGGACAATAGGGAATATTCATCAAATGTGAATACCATCACTACGTGCATTGCTGCCATGGAGAGATGGTTTCTTCTTAATAAACTTTAATTCAATTCAAATAAAACAGAGGTCAGCCCACTGGGCACATTTCACTCAATTAACAAGTTACAAGACCTGACATCAATCAAGGATGGTTAGTTTTAGTGATGCTTTGAAGACACTCGGAGTTGTCCACGACAAGAAACTAACTTTTTTCAGAACATATTTCATCAATAGCAAAAGCTTATAATTATCATATTAAGAAAATACAGACAGTTTTTGTCAATCGATCTGACTGGGAATCAGGCACGTTGCTTGTTATTGTCCAAACTTGATTATTGTAATTCAAAGAAGCAGGAAACACGTCTACAAAGGCTTATGAATCGGGCTGTCAGAGTTGTCCTCAGTATTTGATACACCACCTCATCGTCTAACATCTGCAACATCGAATTTAAAAATATATATTGATAACACTGATTACTTATCAAACGGCGTTAGTTAACTAGGAAGTTAACTAACGCCGAACATGCTGTGATTTTCATCAATAATTGCATTTCTGACAATCTTAATCCAATATATATATACATATATATATATATATATACAATATATATATATATACAATATATATATATACAATATATATATATATACAATATATATATATATATATATATATATGCGGCCCTCCAAAGATAAAATCAATGCGGCCCTCACACCATAAAATTTGACCACCTCCATCCAGTTGCTTCGCTAACAAAACCATATCCTGTTTAGTTTTTTTTTGTTCAAAATAAAGAGACACATCTTCGAAAAATAAAAAATTCGGTAAAAATAAAAAATTCGGTAATTCGGTAAATTCGGACCTTATGGCAAAGCCCCGATGTTGTTTAGCCAACTGACCGTATTTGTGATCAATCTTTAGATTTTTTGCATTGTTATTACACATTCAAATTCATGCAACCTTTTTTCTAGGCCCGTTTGTTATATGCTAAACTGTTTTTAGAGTGATTTCATATTTAAAAAAGAAAACAAAAAACAATTTTGAAATCAGTGTCGCCCTAATGTTACTTTATGGGTGACGCACAAAAACACCTGTTGGCACATTAAAAATATAGTTTAAAATTGTTAAATAAATTTTAAATACAGACAAAAACAACGGATATTCAAATCACTAAATATTTGGGAAAAACCTTTTACTACCTGGGTTTAATAGCCAAAAATTTCCCAGTGAATACAAACTAACCTTCTTGTGTTTTAAATCTTCACATAAGTTGAATTCGACGTCTACTGGATTTGAAGGCGTTGGTGCTCTTGCAGAGACAAGGACAGCTTTGTCATTTTTTTCAATCATTTCACAGTCACGAGCCACACTCAGTGCGGTTAAGATATTGTCACCTGGCAATATCAATTTCAGGAATTCATATATAGATATTTTCAAGCAACAAACTAGCGATGATTAACATAAAAAAAACTTAGCTTAACTTAGTTAAAAAAAATAGATAAAAATTAGCTCATTAACCTGAAAAAAATTCGAACTCACTGTTAAAATTTAGAAAACAGTTGCAAACTATGAATTTGAACAAATTATAAAGCTCTTTACATAAGTATATTAAATATATGTAACCGATTTGAAGAATATCTTTTTCAACTTACCAGTGACCATGATAGTTCTGATGTGTGCATCTTTTAATTTTCTAATTACTGATGTCGATTCAGGCTTTAAACGATTTTCCAAAACTAACAATCCCAAAAAGATTAAATTTGATTCAACGGCTTCCCTTTTAATAAAAGAACTTATTTTAATCTTATGAAATGATAAAATTATTGGAAAAAAATACCTTTCCATTCTTTGGATTTTTACATAAGATAATTTATAGAGCGTTTTGTAAGCAAAACCTATAACTCTGAAACCTTGCTTGGTGTAGAACATCAAAACTTCTTGAAAATTGCAAGGCACTTTTATGAAACATTAAAATTAAATGAGATTTTTTGAAATAGAAAAAACATTTTAGGAATTGCTAAATTAATTAACACCTGAAGAGGGTTCACAAAAAGTAACAATTATCTCGGGCGAGCCTTTAACAAAACAATGCACAGGATCACATCCTAGCTCCCTCACTACAACAGACATTCTTTGCATTTTTGAAGAAAACGTGAACATACGCAATATTCCGACTTGATATGGCAAAACCTAATTAATAAAATATTCAAAAAAATTACACAATTGTAGTTGTATCGATTTCAAAAATTTAATTTTTTCTAAAAATTTGTTTCGTCCCTTAGTAGCTTGAGTTAAAACACCGACTTAATGCATTTACTATCTAATACCAATGAAAGATCGCCATAAAAGTCCGCGCTGACCTCTGGGGTGTTGAAACCAGCAGATTCTGTAACAATGTCAGGATTTTTAGGATGAACAATGGTAGGAGTCATAACATCGTACTTTGATTCGTCACTACCAGATTCTTCCAAATCCTTCAAACATTTTTAAATAACAGGCAATAATCAATGACATTAAATATTGCTAAAAATCCAAAACAACTGATACACGAAACACATTCTATTTTCAAGCTTTCAAACGAAGCATTTAGTTCTGAACTTTAAATGCTTATGCTTCAAGTTCATCATATTTTCCCGAACCTCAACTTTTACTTAGATTAAAAACTTTGAAAAATTTGTAAGGATAAGGATAATCGTCAAAATATGAATTAACTTACTACCACTTGAGAGCTGGTTAAACTATACAGCGTATTATATATAAGTGCTTAATGTAAGCAAGTATATTGATGTGTTTGTATGTAAGTACCAGTGATATATCACATCTCAATTAATAACTAATGACTAATTTTATCTATTCCCTAACTAAGCAAAAAACGAAACTGCTTTTTCATACACTTATCTACGTTCGATCATAGCGATATAAAACGTCATCTCTATCTCCCAATTGATCCCTTTTGCCACAAAATTTTTTTCTGGAATGTAAGATGCTAAATTTAAGAAATAAAAGTTTCAGATTTGAATCTTTATTAAGCTTTGCTAATTCTCATTAGATTTTATTAAACACCCCAACGTTAAAACTGCTGCTCCATAATTTTTCTTTATGAATTTGACCATTCACCGTCTAAAACAATTTAATTTTTTATCCAACTCTCAAGCAGTATATACATAATCATGAATGCTAAATACTAATAATTGAATGATGCGGTGCAACCTGAAAAGATGAATTTCAACAAAAAGCATTAAATTTAAACTTCTCGAAAGCAAAAAGTAAAAATAATAATGTTAGACAAACCCAGTTAGTAGCTTGAAACATCTTCAAATCAAGAGGGTCTCCAACTATGTGTCCATCAATTATTGTTAATGAATGACATGTAGCCATAGCAACCAAGAGCGGATCTTTTTTGTCTAGTTTAAAAAGTTGCTGCTCTTCTTTTGCAAATTTGCTACAATTCATAATAAATAAAAACAATCAACGTAATTTGCATTAACAGTGACATTAAGGCATTAATATATGGATTAAATTAACCACAAAAAGGTAAATATATTAAATTTTTGTGCATGAAATTCTTACTTTCCATTAATAACTGGAACAACACACATGAAATCCAAGCCTTCTTCTGTAAGTGTTCCAGTTTTATCAAAACAAAATGCATTTATCGCCCCGCACAAATTGATTGCGGAAGGATTGATGCAAAATATCTGTGACTGTTTCAATCTTTTTTGAGCAAAAACGATGCCAACTGTCATGGCTGCTGGAAGAGCAGGAGGAATAACAATAGTCACTAGATCAAGTGACCTTATGATAATTAATGACAGAGACTCTCCTTTCTTAACCTTAATAAAAAAAGTTTAAGCGTTAAGTTCATAATTAATGACAGAGACTCTCCTTTCTTAACCTTAATAAAAAAAGTTTAAGCGTTAAGTTCAAAAACAAAGAAAAAATGAGTTTATGTATAAAACCGAACAAAACAAACCATAAGAACGATTGTGTAAATCATGCCAATGCATGCTACAAGAGCGAGAACTCCAACAAATTTAAAGGCATCCTTTGTAAATTTAAAGTCTAAGGGTTTGGGAAACATTATAGATCGAACCAGCTCTCCCTTAGCTGTGTAGAAACCTTTAAACATATTTGGGACAAAGCTAAAATTACCATGTCAGAATGTTATAGAAATTTTTTATAGAAATCCAACAAACCTGTTCTCATGACAACTGCCTTTACTTTTTTATTATCATAATAACGTGTTTGCATAACATGTGTCCCACAGAACAAAATGTGCTTAGAATGATCATTTGAATTGAATACTCCTTCGCCAGGTAAAGGGGTTTTTGTTAACGGAACACTTTCACCTTCAATTTTAACAATTTATTCATTTAATTACAGAATTATGGGCGCAGAAAATAAAATTTCCCTGAGCTCATCTGAAAATAAAACATTGGAGGTTCGTGTGTGGGGAAAGTAAATTAAGAAAAAAAATACAAGTACAAATAAAACGTTAGTAAAACGTTTACGCAACATTTTAAACAACCAATATTATTAATTTTTGTTGAGAATCTAGTTGAGCAGTTTGAACTATTTTGCAAATACAATTTATGACATGAGGGTGAAATTACAACTACTAAAATCTACGAACGGTTTCACGCTATTTGATTTTTGACCCGAAGTAGCATAAACCAAAATGAAGAAAATAAGCGACTTCTACATTAATTATTAACATTAACATAATATGGAAACCCTATTCGAATGATCACCAATCACATATTCACTATCTTTTATGTGTGTGCGTATAATGAATGTTGTGTGCACCAAATTAAACCAATTATAACGTTAGTAACAATAGTCGTGTCACGTTAAAAAAAAACAAGGATTAAAGAAAAGATATAAGAATATGTCAGTACTAGCAACAAAATTTTAACTAAATTCAAAAAATATATTCAATATGTAAACTCTGATTTCTTTTATAGATGTTAATAAAAACTTCTAATAGTAGCCTAGTAGCAAAATATAAAAAAAGTTGGACAAATTATTTTTAAAAAATGTGAGAATTACAATTGCTTTACCTGTGAGCATGCTTTCATTGACGATACAATTGCCAGTTATGAGGACCGCATCGCACTGCATGACGCAACCACTTGGAGGTATTTCAATAAGATCACCGGGAACCAAAATATCGGAAGTAACGGATTCAAAATCTAGCAAAATTAGAAAAACGGTATGTTAAGCAAATAAGTATAAAGTGATTTTGTTATAAAAATCATTTTTCAACAACGTATATATATATATATATATATATATATATATATATATATATATATATATATATATATATATATATATATAATTAACTGTCAGAAATGCAAGTATTGATGAAAATTTATTTTTTATTTGCCATTTTATTTATTTGAACTGCAATTTAGCTTGTTTTTGGTCAGACTGGGTAAAGGGTCCGTTGAGCCCTCTGGTCAGTTACGTTAATAAATAAAATTAAATAAATAAATCACAGCATGCTCGGTTCGGTGTTAGTTAACTTCCTGTTTAACATTTCGATTATTCTAACGATTGATCGTAAATTATTTTTGAGTTTCTTGAGTTCAAAACCAAAATTTTTTGTTTATTTTATGCATAATAGATCAAAAAAGGTTTTTTCGGTATTCTCAATACCATCTTCGGTGTTCGAATTGATACGCAGTGTATGTAGCCAGATGCTCATATATATATATATATATTGTGTCTCGACTCTACTTTGTTGATTCCTTGTTTGTTCAAAGTGAATACTTAACGCTCATTTAATTAGTTTTACAAACTTCAACTTCGTTTAATATAACACTTGTACGTGTTTTCACTCCAGAAATAGACGAACTGCATTCCAGGTTTTTAAAGGAGGTGAGAAACGAAATAGGAGCCACTCTAACCTTAGTTCGACTCCATCTTGAATTCTGCGCTCAAGTTTGGAGTCCTGATCTGCAAAAAAACAAGGACATTTTGGAAAAAGTACAGCGGAGAGAAACAAAGATGATCGGAGGACTTAAAAATCTTGAATAAAAAGATAGATTGAAAGAATGTGGATTGACAACAGTGGAAACAAGAAGATGCTGAGAAGATCTGATACAGGCAAACAAATTGATTAACAAGAAAGAAGCCGTTTACCAGATTTTTCAACGAGGCCGCAGAAACTCTCCAAAAAATAGATAGTGCCGTCAAGCAGATTCTTCAGCAGCAGAGTGGTAAACACCTGGAATGATCTGAATGATGAGACGGTCTCCGCGGAATCAATTAACAGTTTCAAGATTAAACTCAGGAAGCTAGGATATTAGGACACTTATCTCGCAGTGATTCTCACACAGACTCTAATGAATTAAATCACTTTAAACCCTGTAATACTATGCTATCTTGAAACAAATTGTGTAAAAATGCAAAGCTGATGTTCTTGTACTCTCTATTTTCTCCATATCTTATATATGGTAATGTATTGTGGAGATCAACATATAAGTATTTGATTAAATTTTTTGAATTATTTAATTAATATTTGTTTTAATATCATATTTATATTATAAAAAATTGAATTCATGACACTCTTTAATTTCTGCACATTTAGTTAAGGTGGTTAGCACATACTTTGTACCATGATCTCCTGTGCATTTTTATTTTGCTAAATAAATACTGGAAATGAATACTATTAATGTGTTCATGGTGTGATTAATAGGACGGACGCAAGGACGGGGTTGAGTGATGGTATTGAAAGAGTGGAAAGCTTTGTTTACTTAGGGGATAAGCTGAATGCGGATGGAGGATGTTTGAGCGCAGTTACGGCTAGAGTTCGTGTGGGATGGATGAAATTTAGGGAACTGGGTGGGGTATTGTGTGGAAAGAAATGGTCAGTGAAGATGAAAGGGAGGGTATATAAAGCATGTGTGAGAGCAGCGATGATATATGGTGGTGAAACTTGGGTGTTGAGGAGAGAGGAGGAAAGTGTACTGCAGAGGGCTGAAAGAGCTATGGTGAGGATGATGTGTGGGGTTAAAGTGAAGGATAGGAGGAGTAGTACAGAGCTGATGTCAATGATGGGACTGAATGAGGACATTGTGACATTGATAAGGAGATCGAGATTGCGGTGGTATGGACATATGTTGAGAAGGGATGAAAGGGTCGGGATTAGGCGAGCGTTGGAGTTCGAGGTTGAAGGAGTGGTAGGAAGGGGTCGTCCGCGATTGGGATGGAGAGAGCAGGTGGAGAAGGACAGGGTGAAAGCGGGGTTGCGTGATACTGAGGCGAGTGACAGATGTGGATGGAGTCGAGGGGTATTTCGGTTTCATCATAGGTAGCCAAGCGGCAACCCCCGATCTCGGGGAAAATGCCGTCTAAACGTGTGTTTGTTTTTTGTTTGTAAATAAATACTGGAAAAAATGGCTAGCAGCTACAGGCCAATTCATTCATTTCATTTCAAAAATTATTGAAAAAAATAATCGTCAAGCAACTGTTAAATTATCTTCCAAAAATTTCGCTGATACCAAAGTAACAATCAGGATTTCAGAAACCTTACTCAACAGGGACGGCCTTGTTGAAGGCACTTACACATGTTTGCGATGATTGCTCTACAAGAAGTTAGTGCAGCATTTCATACTGTCGATCATAAAATTCTATTAAACAGACTAAGAACATCGTAAGGTATAGACGGTTTAGCTCTCAACTGGTTTAAATTGTACCTATTATCAAGAATCCAAACGGTTGATGTGGGCATCAACAGTTCAGTCGTTGCAAGTTCGAATCTGACGCGTGGAGTTTCTGCCAAATCTTATACCAAAAACTGCACATTGAAACCTACACATTTATAAATTATTTAGATCTTCCATTCTCTCACATAGTTGCCTTACTAAAATCCGTAGGCCCTTTTTGCCATAGTCCTACTTTTCCTACAAATCTTTTTCATTCTCCGCCATAAACACAAGGTGGTCAGCATTCAAAATTTCCTGTTAGCCAACCTCTGATATCTTTACCAAGCATCTCGATTACGAGTCTTGATGCAGAACAATCTGGACATCAAAACAATTTTCTAAACTAATGTCAATCTTTACCGCAAAACTTTCAATTCATTTTCAAATTAGTAATTGTAAAAACTGATACAACACTTCATAAAAAAATTCAATTTTGTCATTACTATTCAAAATTATATTTTGATTGAAGTAAATGATTACAAAGAATATACTCGAGAGACAGCGACTGACCTTGAATGTCTTTTCTATATACAGATACCACTTCCGAAGGTGACAAAGTATGTTTCAAGGCTCGTTGCATCTTGATGTTTTATCGAAAAAAATTAATCAATTTTTATATTTATATCAACATTGCTTAACTGCTGTATTCATTTCGTCATCATGATTAGACATTTGAAACATGAAAAACATATTGTGTGGGTTTATATAAAAATAGATTCCCGTTACACAAATTATTTTCATACCTTCCTTTTTAAAACGTTCATTCAATTTTAAATGTTCTGTTTTATACCATGATATGATATATTTCAATTTGAAATTCGAAGTTACTTCGTTTCCATTAACAAGTTGATAATATATCATCGCATAATGCTTAGTCACAAAAAAATCAAATTTAGCAAATTTAGCAAAAATATTCAATGACAAATTCTAAATTTTTCGATAAATCTATCACTACAATTTATATAGGGATATTTCAATAGTGTTTAAAAACGCTTTTTAACAATTTAACAACATAGTTATTTGGCTGAGTGAGTGCGACATAACGCGACAAATACTTTTGTGAATTATTGCGATGTTGAACCATTTAGTTAGTTATTACTCCTTGCCTTCCTATCTTAACTCCTTCCACCCTACCTACCATCAGCCGATACATATAAAAAGCAATTCAACACGCCAACACTTTTAAAATGTAATTTTCAATAGGACAAAAAAGATTGAAACTTGATCAATGCCTACTAATTTGTATTATTAGTAAATTGCATGAATTAAAAAAAAACATTCTAAATTATTGTACTTTGTTTTACAAATCTCGAGTACAAATTAACATTAGCTAGTTTAGAGATACTAAAATTGTATTGAAATTGTTTAAACAAGAATTGAAAATTAAATAAACTGATGCCGAAATCTGCTGAAACTATCACGGAAAGTTTGCTTAAATTTCAGCTTCAATAAAGACATTTGAATAAATATTAAAAAACTGGATTGAGGCAACTTACTGATCTGGTTTGACGAACTGAAACCCCTAAAGAAATGATGCACGTGATGACAATACATGAGGCATAAAATTCATAATCATCGGCGTACCAGAGTATGATGCTGAACAGTTGAAAAACATAAAATGGATTGAGAGCCTGTTCAAATATAAAAATAAAATTTTAAAAACTGCTAATTTTTAGTGACAAATAATGATAATGTCATTTATAAAGTGCCGTGGGAGGCGAAAGAACAATATGACAGTAAATAAACGACATGTAATGATAATCAAAATAAAGTATAAAAACAAAAAATTTTATAAAACTACTGTCGGATCTCCGTATAACAAATTTAACGGTTCCATGGAAAAAATTCGTAATATAGAAATTTCGTTATATAGAATTTTCTGGAAAAATTCCACATTGCCTAAAAGATGTTTATATGCTATATATTTATGAAAAACCATCTTATAATTATTTATTTTAATAACAGAAAGTACAATAACAAAACATGCTAAATGAAAAAATTTTAAGTAGCCTTATTGATTGAGATTGTCAAAAGAAATGCAACAAAATGAGTATTGAAATAAGGTGAATACATTTGCAGAGAATGAACAATTGGTTAAAAGTGCTGAACTCCAAAAACATGAATGAGTGAAATAAAAATGAACGTTTCCAGACATCAACATTAAACAACGCAAGTGCACCAAGTAAGGAACTAGATATGGAGGTTAATAAAAGCAATGGCAAAATTGAATCCTGGCTTCACTAATATACTACCAATAAAATTATTAATATCAATCAATAAAATATAAAATTATTGATATAAAAAATTATTATTAATATTAATGACATACTTCGGTAAGAAAAAGTTTATACACAGGTGTGACATGAGCAATGATGTTGTTGAAGCCATAAATATTCCTCCAGCGTGACTCTTCTTCTTGTGAATGTCCTTTAGAAAGATGAAATTGAGAGCAGAAGCGTTCACCATCCAGGCCCCTTTAAAAACATCAACCAAAAATTTTGCAACTGAGGTTATCCGTTTACAGCAAAAAACAAGGCAAGTAAATAAATTTTTAAAAACCTGAGCTTTTGAAACATTTGCAATTCATCGTTCCAAATGTATTTGATTTTTTTGTGGAGAAAATATTTGTGGTTGATCATTTTCTGTTAAATTGATAAGCGTTTAAATATATAACAATCTTTACAACGAACGTTCAACACCTTGTTGAATAGCAAATTAGAAAAAAGAGCAGCACAAAAAATAATGAAACATAATGTTTTTATAATTATTTACAGCAAATATTTTAACATGTATATTGTCAGAATTATGAAATAATGCTGACTAAAAATACTGCAAAATTTTCAACGCGAAATTTATTCACTCGATAGGGGGCATGGTGCAAGTTAATTTACTCGATAGGTGACAACGTATTTTTTTTGTTTTGCAATTTAGATGACGTCATAAATTATTATAAATTATTTTAAAATTTAATTAATACTTTTTCTGATTAATTGGACATGCCTTGTAGATTTTTATGTTTTAAAACACCCGAAACAAAATCTTATTTTGTTTTGATAAGGAAGGGTGTGAAAAGACTTAGAGGGAGTCCGCTCTGGGTTGACTAGTGAGGCAGCTTCGAATAATCAGTGCCTCTTCTGGTCCCTAAGAGACTTAACGCGTGATTCTATGCTCATTGGCATAGTTTCAGAAACGCCTTAAGTTCTCAAAAGTGGATTCAATACGAGACTCTATGCTCATTGGCATAGTCTCGCACGCGTACTGAAGACACAATTTGTTACCAGTGTTGTTCTGACTCTTGTTGTCTTGTGTTGGTCGTGCGAAAGCCGATCAGACTTGACGGCCCAGTGAAAACAGGCCAGGGTTGTGCGAAAGCCGACCGACTGACAGACAGGCCCAGTGAAAACAGGCCCTTGGTCGTGCGAAAGCCGATCAGACTTGACGGCCCAGTGAAAACAGGCCAGGGTTGTGCGAAAGCCGACCGACTGACAGACCGGCCCAGTGAAAACAGGCCTTGGGTTCTGTGAAAACGAATCCGCCTCGTTGTTTTGTTTCTTGTGCTATTTGTGGACCTAGGGTTCTTTGCTGGATTCTATACTCATTGGTATAGTTTCACACGCAGCTTGGAATTTCCATAGGCTCCGATTTTTGTAATTTATTTTCTTTTATTTATTGGAGTTGTATCGACATCACCATCGGATACACACGTCGAAGTCGTACGATTAAAACGCCAAGAAACATATTCCAAGTTGAAGACCCAACAAGAAGAGTTCTAATTCCTGTATTCCAGTTTGTTCATTGACATTTACATTCTTTTAGAGTTCATTAGTTCAATTCCTTTTATTTACTTCCGTCGATTAATAAAATTGTTATCGAATATTTTTTACGCGTTTGTGTGTTACTCAGTAAAATCATATAATTCGAAAAAGCCCAGTGCCACACAGGACTGGTCGAACTCACGATAAAAATATACACAAAAATTATTGTCGGACCATACAAAAATTCCCTGAGAAAGATAGAGGAGGAGATTACTTCCTCTTATCGTTTTGATTTATTATTATTTAAAATTTCCGACAATTGGCGCCCAACGTGGGGCCTTGTCACCCTTTTAAAAATCCTCCTCCTCCTCATATCATTATTATTTATTATTTTAAAATTTCCGACAATATCAAGCTAGCTGAACAACTTTAACAATGAATTATATCGATTTATTAAATTAGTTATTTCAACGTTTATTTTTTATTCTGGTTGAAAATGCAAGAAAAATGTGATAGAAAGTTAAAAGATTGGATTTAACAACTAAAAGTCAGAAAGAAATTAGATGAAGAAACAAGAAGCAAAACAAAACAAGAACAAGAGCGTGCCTATTATCAATGGTGTTATAAAATGAAATTAAGGAAAAATGCTTCTAGTGGATTCAGATGTATGTGATCAACAAGAATACAAAATTGATAGAGTTGGTTTGAGGATTATCTTGCAATTTTGGTCAAACTAAAATTTTGGTGAAATTTTATTTCATACCATACAGTTTTAAATTTGTACAATTTATGTTCGCTTAGAAAATTTTATAGATACTCTTTAAAAAAGAGAAATGTCTGAAGTTTTATTGTAATGAAAGAAATTCTTATATAAACATAAAAAAGTTATGCATTTCATTAAAAACATGTTAACCTGCCACAAAAAAGGCTCAGATAAGTCCATGTCCTGAAAAGATTGCTGCGCAATAATAACAAATATCATCAGTTTAAAAAGACATTTGGAAACAAGCAAAAGATTTTAATGTTTTCTTATTTAACAAATTACAAATTTTTGAAATACACGTGTTTTAACTAGAGACGTACCGAATATTCGGCCTGGCCGAAAATTTGGCTGAAATTAGGTGTTCGACTGAAATTTAATGTTCGGCTGAAATTAGGTGTTCGGCTAAAATTTAGTGTTCAGCTGAAATTAGGTGTTAGGCTGAAATTTAATGTTTGACTGAAATTTAGTGTTCAGCTGAAATTAGGTGTTCCACTGAATTTAAATGTTCGGCTGAAATTTAGTGTTCAGCTGAAATTTAATGTTCGGCTAAAATTTAGTGTTCGATTGAAATTCAGTGTTCGGCTGAATTTTTCTGTTCGGCTGAGCTTTGGTGTTCGGCTGAAATTAGGTGTTCGGCTGAAACTTAGTGTTCGGCTTCGGCCATTTTTAAAGGCGCTGTATAATAATAATATAATCGTAATATAGCCGAATATTGCAACTTTCGTTCTAACCACTCCTATTTTTTGCTTCCATAAACAATTGTTGGTTATTGTTGGCGGGAATTATATTTTGGCCATCCTAGAGGGTAAGAAATTAAAAATTGGACAAAAGATTGAATTTTATTTTGATGAAGAATTGGATACAAATGAGTAATTTTTAGCAGCATTCTTTTTACTCTAAAAAAGTAAAAAATTCGGCTATTCGCCCTTTGGCCACATTCACTATTTGATACATCTCTAGTTTCAGCTTAAATATAGATATAGAGTATTCACATGGAGCCATTTAAACCATGATCTCGAAGTGTTTTAATGCATAACAGTATAAAATTGTTTTGCTCAACTTAGTGTCATTTGATACAACGATTATCAATAATCACCATGATTCATTCATACAGTGCAGTAGAATTCAACACACTTTTCCCGTTGTTTCTTCAGTCAGAAAAATTCTCGCCTCATTCGAATCCTGTAGGAACAAGTTGTTCCGTTTAGTTTTTGATCCTTCTCTCTTTTTGTTATATTTTGGTTAGCCTTTTTAAATTTTTTAGCGCTCTCATTCCATCCATTCTTATCAAGTTTAATGTCCATTGCAATGTTTTTAGTTGATTTTTTTAAAGAATATCTTCCAGTGTTTCTTTTTATTGTAGGGGTTTGTTATTAATTAAAAATCTCAAGTGATTGAAACTACTTCAGTTATCGTATAACAAATAATTTTTGTTGCGATTTTTTTTCAAAAAGTTAGCTAGACAAAATTTATTAACTCGTTGGTAAACAAATAAAAAAAATTGCTCACTGTACTTTCTTCTTTCAAAATGAACCCTGAATTGCTTAAAAAATTATTATTAAAAAAAATTAATGAATGAATTACTTTGACATTTTATTTATAGTATGAGCAATTTAAACAGTTCTACAAAGAACAATCACAGTAACTAAAGTTAGATAATAAATATAAAAACACAAGAACTTGGATTTCATATTGGAATGGTTAGTACTAAGTGGGATGACAAAGGATTTATTAGGTACATTGGTCATAATTATAAGAGGCAAAAAAATTTAGCGGACTACTAAATGATAATGACTAGAGGTTATCCAAACAATGTTCAATAAGACTAAGAACAAAATTTCATAATCATGGTATGTTGATGTGCGAACATTGGTTTTAAACATGAATTATAAATTGATAGAGCAACATTTGCAATTTAACAAATTGTAAGGCGTTTATTACGGCGCATTCGGTTTTGAAGTTTTGTTGCTACAAAAAGTAGTTGAAGTGAGCGAAAAAATTGTGATTTGTTAGTGAGAGATCTGGCAAGTATGATGAGTGAAGCAGAGTTTCTTAAACCAATGCGTTCAGATTTTTTAACGTCTGTGTGTGACGTGTGGTCTGGCGTTATAATGGAGAATGATAGGACTCTACCATTTAACCAATGCTGGTTTCAGATTCATATGCTGGCTAGATTTATTTTTGAATTTAGTTCAATCTTGTCTTCTCTGGGTGATCGATAAGAAAAAGATGAGTATGTCATTTAAGCAAACACTGAATGAATAATGCATATATTGCTTACGTAAGTTGTTAACAAGCATTGATGGGCAAATTGAAGTTGAGAAATTATAAACAAATGTTATGTGGATAATACAACTAAATAAAGAAAAAACATTTCAAAGGTGTGAATGAAAACTGAAACGGCTCCAACAAAAAGATAGAAATGATTTGAAATTATGAAAGATGTTAAAAAATAATAAAACAAGCGTGAAACAAACGCCTTTAATCCTTTTCCATAAATAAAAAATTAAAAAATTATTAATGATTCCTTAGAATTCATTAAAATAGGGCTTAAAACTGAAGTGATCAAACAACCTTTGAAAATTTTGATACATTTCTAACTTCTCCACATAAACTTGCCCGTGCTGATCCTGTTTTAATTGTTTTTACAACAAACTTGAAATGTAAAGATATGAAACAAAAGTTGCTCATATGGATTTATAGTGTCGACTGCATAATGAATTATAGTATTAACTAAAAAAAGCTACAAAATCTGAAAGTATAGCAAAATAAATTTGATCAAAATGCATAATTTAGCTTATTCAAAAATTTACCAAGCCTCTAATCCAACGCCTCACTGGATGCCAAAATTCAATCAATAAAGAAATCCGTGTTTGCAATAAATTACTTTTTTAAATTAAATTAATTTTTAATTAATTTTTCAGTAAAGTTCATTTTGCTGTCAGATGGATGTCAGGTATAACAAACAAAAAAAACCTATTTCATTTTCACGTCTCCCAGCATCCGGCCAGCCTTCATCTCCATATATCTGTCGCCTCTGATACGTTGATCATCAACATGGAATAGTCCACGATGACCTCACTCTCATCAGATCATCTACCCATTCACATCAGCTTACAAA